TCAATACAGAATTAACTGAGATGAAATAAAGAATATATATAACGGCAAAATTATGTGAATCTGTGAAATTATGTGAAGGATTATTCTGAAACAGTAATATTTCATCTTAAATATTCCGTATTACTTTACTGATATATCGATTGAAACATGAGAGAGGGGATTGAGGAATTAGTAGGAGGATGAGGAGGAAGAAGATATGCCCAAAAGATAGAATGTTACAAACCCCTATTTTGAACTTCCATAAATAAAGTGCAGTCCCTACCCTCTTCAGAAATCCTGAACAGAAAGAGTTCACTGGGGCCTTTGACCTTGCCCTGAGTCCAGTCAGGCTGTCTCTGTGTCCTGCTCCCCTGAACACAGTGGTCCACATGGTGCTGGTGCTGATCCTGGGACAAGGCCTCCTGAAATGGCTACCTAAGAGAGCTGTGTGTACTCAGACCCTGTGGAGAGGGATGTGGTGGATTTAATTCCCTAATCTGAAGCACTTATTTCTGCCAGACAACTGCTTGTCATGGGGATGAAATTATCAGATTTATTTTTAGATGACGATGGTTTTGCATTGAAAACGAATCTAAACTCACAAAATTTTAAAGGTCCTTTGAAGTGCATGCAAGTCATATTTAGTTATCTAGTAAAATTCATGGGTAGGAGTTGGAGAAAGTAATTATGTAAATATATACTTGTGCAATTAAATTTAGCAGAGAATCTTCCTTTGGAACTTGGTTACTTCGTAAGTCATCTGCAGCGTTTGTGCTGCAGTCTCCTCAAGGCATATGATGTTAAAACAGAGAGTAAACCATAGAGGCCGACAGGAAGCCCTCACTCCGCAGCTGTCTTCTCTACTCCTGTTCCTGGGACCTTTCCTGTTGCTCAGTGGATCCTCAGCGCCCTCTGCTGGTCCTGAGCGCCCTGAAGGGACGTTTGTATCCGGCCTGCATTAACGTCTCCTCCCTGTTTCTGTTGCACATTAATACCTGGACCTGTCTTCGGTTTTCAGACTGATAATTTGTAGATACAGTATGGTCTTGGTCTTGGATGACCCACCTTATCCTTGGGACCAGTCAGCACTAAGGTGCAGAGGGCTCCATGTCTGACTTCCCTCTGCTCCTCTTATGATACAGTCAGGGCTTTGGATCACTGGGGTGGACTCAGGGGCACAGCTGTCTGATGGCAAGTTCCCTCCCAGCTTCGCTCTCCTACTGCACTGGAGGAGCCATCTGTGCCTGTCCTAGAGACTTCCTCCAGCACAAGATGTTCTTATCATAACAGGAAATTGTGCACATTTTGGGGACAGATATGTAGCTCCAAAGTGTGTCTATCCTGATCTCAACAGCTGTGTGAAATTTGGTCATTTTTTCCTGACTCTATAAGCTATGATCATTTTCTACCTTATGGTGCAGTTGTGCATCTATGTTTCTGTTATAAAGTCTTGTTGCACATAGTGATCTCTGCAGCCAGAGTAGGAACCACGAATTAGATCGGTGAGATGAGGTTATACCACGTGCTCAGTCTCTCAGAACCACAGAGGAGACTGTGAGAGGCAGAGGAGAGGCAAAGCAGGCCACTCAAGGTCATGACCAGTTACCCTTCTTGCTTCCACCACTGCCTCAGAGAGGCTCAGCTGTAATAGAGGTCCCTTGTCCTCGGCTCCCTTTCTGTGTGAGGGCCTCAGAAAGCGTGATGCTGGCCTAAATTTGACCAATTTACCAACTGAATTTATGTCACAAGTAACATCATTCAGTTGAATATAAGAAATTTCTTTCTAGTAAATGATTTCATTTCAATTAACAAAATGGAAAATGGCGCGCTTTCATGATTAAACAATTTGCTGTCCTCTAAATGTGAGAGGTGAAGGATGCCCAGAAGCTGTTTCATCCACACTCAGTCTCCTGTTTGTACACATTTCAGGCCACAGAAGAGAGGGACCGTCTCACAATCCTGATCATATGGGTCAACAAGGAGAAAAAATGCTCTAAGGAATTCTCGATTATTTTCCATGGAGCCGGTTTGTATGGCAAACACCTGTAAGCCCAACAGTTTTGGGGGCTGAGGAGAGGATCAAAAGGTTGAGCCCACCTTGGGAAAATGATGGCTTAATGAGTACCTGTCTCAATTTTAATAAATTCATATTGCTGAGAAACAGTATCCAACACTAGCAATTTAAAGGAGGGCAGGTATATTTTTTCCTTTGTTTTTAGAAGATGTCGTTTATAGTTATCTGATTCCAAGGCATGAAGTACATGGTACTAGGGCTAGGTCTACAAAAGTGGCTCACGTCCTGGCCAACAGGAAACAGACGGAACGCAGGAACAATGTAGCAAGATAAGCTTTTCCAGATCAAGCCCCAACAATCTGGATTCCTTACCAACCTTAACATTGGTGGGGAGAAGACAGAAAGAAATTTAATCTACTTGTTATGATTCCTGAAGGAGGAAACCGTGTGTCAACTATAGAATAGTGGGGGCTGCCTTCATTGATACAGAAGTCAAGAATGCCTTTATGATGAGGTCAGAGCTGCTGGGAGAGAAACAGGCAGCTGCATCTAGAAGGTCTGGGGGAAAGATAAGAACAGATGGTGAAATTTCCCAAGTCAGGAAAAGCTGTCACATTTTGGGGAACTGAGGATAGAATTAGGAAGAAAACACTATTGTCTGCATTTCTCATTTGCCCTCTGAATGACTGTCTGTTACAATTACTGTGACAAATTCTAAATAATTTGATGCTTCTCCACTGCACTTATTTCAGAAAAAATGGAGAAGCAAATCAACAATGGACTCTACAAGGTGCTGCCCAATTTATGCCTCTAAAGACTTTCCTTTCTCAGTCATCTTCTGCAGAGGTAATATTCAGTTTCCTCTGTGTCTCTGTCTCAGTCATCTGCTATCCAGTTTCTCTACACATCTTTAGTCAGTTTATTAATTCACAAATGTCAGGTTCTATCTACTAGAAGTTCTTGTCATTGATTGACATGGTTTGAGTTGTTCGACAGATTTTATATGCTGGAAATGTAGTTCTCAGTTAGTGGTACTTGCAAGTGGGACCTCTGGGAGGAGGTTTGGCCTTGAGAGCCTCCTCATGAGAGGATTATCGCACTCAGCTATGTGGATGTGGGAATGGAGCTGCGGTTTCCACCTAGGCAGATGTGCTCTTTTGAAAGTTAATTTAATTCTTAATTTTCAAATACAATTTTATGGTTGTACACAACAGGATATCTTGAATTATGTCTACAAAGTGCAGTAGCTCAATTTAACTTGTTAACTCCTCTGCTAACTTAGATGCTCACAATTTCAGAGGTTCTAAATTTGTTTCAGACATGAAACAAGATGGTAGACACTCGCGACATACAGGCCTAGGTATGAAACGCTGCTGCCCACAAAATAGGCCAAGAGTTTTACCCACCACGCAGAGCAGCAATGCCAAGCAAAGATATTACAAGTGAGGGGTGCCATGAGAAGCGCAGTGACTCTAGACTTGAGAAGTAAGGCGCCAACCCTATGAAGCTCACTGAGTACCACTGAGCACACAAAGATGGCTTGTAAAGAGAAACCGCATGATTAGCAAAGGGTTAGAGGCTTTGTAGGTCATCTGAATACCAGAATAAGAGATAAACCTGCACAGGGTATGCACAAAGTGTCTTTCTGAATTTTCTAACACTGTAAAATATATCAAGAGTGAACAGCTAGGAAAAAATCGCAATTGAAGAACAGACTTTAATAAAGTATAACTTTCTGATGTGTGCAAAATGAAAGTGTGCATTATAATGTAGGCACTGATGCAAGCTGGTAGTGAAGAAATCACAGTGCACTTGAGATCCAGGAGGTAATAAATATGCGACATATTTTTCAAGGTCTCTAGGAAGAAAATACAGTGTAATTAATGCCATCAAATCACTCACTTTCCAATGGTAGAAAATTAAAATATATGCGACATATTTTTCAAGGTCTCTAGGAAGAAAATACAGTGTAATTAATGCCATCAAATCACTCACTTTCCAATGGTAGCAAAAATTAAAAAAAAAAAGAAGACAAGAAAAGATTGAAAAACAAGCAACAAGCAAGTCATATGCTCATATTTTGCTAAGGTTGCAGCTAAACAATGTCCATTGCCTGTAGGACACTGCGATGCCTGGAGTGGAGTGGAGCTGGGTAGAAGACAGAACCTAAGCCAGCTGAGTCAGGATCCCAAGAGTACACACCTACATCCCTAGGACCTGTGTCTGTGACCTGATCATGGCAACAGGAACTTTCTGAATGGTTAAATCAAAGACCTTGACAGGGGAAGATGTGATCCCGCATTTTCTGGCTAGAACCAATATAACGCCCTCTGTCCTTAGAGGTGGGAAAAAGGAGTCAGAGTCAGAGCAAAGATGATGTGTTGATGGCAGTATTGATTACAGAGACGGGGTTGAAAATGGAGCAGGGGGTCATAAGCTAAGGAGGAGAGGCAGACTGTAGAATCTGGAAAAGGCCTGAAAATCATATCTGTATGTAGCTTTCAAGAGGAATCAGCTCTGCCAATAGTGTGCCTTTAGACCAGTAGAAGCTGTTGCCTTGAGTGTGTCTCTGACTTGGAACACAGTGCTGCTCTCCTACCATATGTGTGGAAGTGAGAACGAAAGAGATGTCACAGAAGATTCCAAAGGCCTCACTGAGAGATGGGGGTACCTTTACTGCAAATGGGCAGGAAGAGAACAAGGTAGTGCAAGATGTTTAGTGGCAGGGACAAATTTTCAGATGTGCAAACATGGGGCCCAGATTAGATATCAAATGCAGACACAGAGCGCTGAGTTGTATGGATGAGTTTAGAGCAGAACTGGAAAGTAGGTGACAGGAAATGTTTCATACCTTCCCCCAAAACAGGGGACATCTAAGGATCAAGAGTAGCAAAAGGTAAGTTGTGTTCCTTGCTAATACCTAACTGGCAGATTTGGGGAATGTCGATGGCACAGTAGAAATGGCTTGATGGGTAGTGGCTGTAACCCCAGTCTCTGAAAAAGTGATCTACACTCCCTCTCTGCATTGGTCCCCGAGGTTGAATTTTAAACTTGGTGGGCATTGCTGCCCCCTGCTGGTCTGGAGCACCTTGCAGGGAGGTTCATTTCTGGGCTCATGCTGATGTCCTCTCACTGTGCGTCTTGCACAGTAATATACAGCGGTGTCCTCTGTGGTCACGGAGTTCAGCTGCAGGGAGAACTGGCTCTTGGCTCTATCAACAGTGATGGAGATGCGGCCCTGGAAAGCAGGGTCATACTTTGTGGTCCCTGCCCAGTGCCCCATCCACTGTAGAGCTTTTCCAGGAGGCTTCCGCATCCAGCTCCAGGCATAGCTAGCTATGGAAGCCCCTCTGACTGTGCAGGTGAGGGACAGGGTCTGCGAGGGCTTCACCAGGCCAGGTCCTGACTCCTGAAGTGTCAGATCAGCCAGGACACCTGAGGACAAGGGGAGTCATGGTGAGTCTTTCCCATCCCACTGCGAGGCCCCTGTGAACAACTAGAGACCCCGGACCCTCACCCAGAGGAGCAGTCAGTCATCAGGCACAGAATGGTCCACAGAGTCTGCATGGTGCCTGTGGGATGGAGACCTCCACACTGACCCAGCCTGGGATGGGGGATTTCTTCTGTCGGTGCCCAGTGTGATTTGCATGTGTGTCTGGGCGGTATAAAAGGCTGAGCCAGGGTGACTGTTATGCATTTCTGAGACCTGATTCTGGGTTGTGGGAGATGCTGAGCCTGGAAATGGTGGTCTGGGATTCAGTCCTGGCCAAGTGTTTTCTGTTCCTATGACTTTGATGGGTTGGTGCTGCAGATTTTGGCCATGTAAATAAAATGTTGAGGATTCCCTCTTGTATCAGGCCATCATGCTGTGACTGTCATTTCAATTTTTGAAAAGTCTTTTTGTGGTAGCATTCTTGGTGGTAGTTCAGACTCTTCCTTGGCCCCCACATGCCTGGAGACACAGAGAGAATGTACTGGCTCATCTTAATTAGATATGGCTCTAAGGAAGATTCCCACCAATTTCCTCTCCAGTGTCTCCATCTACAAAAAGGAATAGCGAAGTGGACATGATACAATGTCTCTATTCACACCAGCCCCTGAGTAGGATTGTCCCCATGGACAGTCATATCTGAGAACACATGGTCAGATGACAGCAAGCTATCAGTGTACCTGTCCCAGGCCTCGATACCTGCCTCAGAGTTGTGATCCCAATCTGGGTCATGCTGTAGAATGGCAGTGGCACCTACTTGGAGGTGGTTCTTGATCAGCATGGGTGCGGGCCTGGTCCAGCACTCTTTTGCAGGCCTCAGGGGTTATGGCATTGGTGAGGATGACAAAGAGATTATGGTAAGTTAACTGATATTTTTTGAGCAGCTGTCCTTGTTACCATTAACAGGAGTCTATCCAGACCTAAGAGTTCATATTAAAGATTATAACTTATAAAATCAGGTTGTAGAAATTAACGAATTATTTGTCCTTTTTTCTATTTTCAGATTGTTACATCTTAAAGTCTGACAGGCTGCCAATAGAACAGTATTAACCTTGAGTTTTTTTTTTTATCAACAAAGTACAGAAAAGAGCAAGTTAACCCTAAGAATTTGTAATGAACAAGAAGGGTTTTAAGCACACCAATTAAACTTAATTCAAATTAAAACAAAGATACATTTATTAAGTAGTTAAAATTCCAAACTTGATTTTCCTTGTAAAATCTCGAGAGCAGTTTGCAGTTTGTCTGGCTTGCGGTGGTTTTTTTTGTTTTGTTTTGTTTTGTTTTGTTTTTTTCTCCATTTTGTTGTATGTTTTTTAGAGTTTTAATCCATCAAAGACTTATTTTCTCATTTTAGTTCTTTCTAATCTGAGTGCAAGCCCTGTTCCATTTTTTCTGAGTCCGACCCTGTTTTCCCATCTGCACCCTCCAGTGCAGTAAAGCTAAACCATTCTGTTTTTGCCCCTACCTCCTCCACACCTGCCATCTTAGCAACTCAAGTGGAGCAGGAGGCGGCTGGACCTCCTCTACAACGGAAGCCCTGGGATGTTTTTGCAATGATGTCACATTTTCTGAGAGAGGGAAGTTTATTGTGTGAAAAACAGCCGATTTGGCAAGCAGTTGTTTTAGAACCAAAACTAGTTTTTACCAGCAGCTGATTGCCATGGAGCAGAAGCTTGAAGCCCCTAGGCTGGGTTGTTCAGGCCCCAAAACAGAGCACACAAGGCTCCAAGTTGTCAAAGTCTCAGTTAAAGATAAAGGGCGATTTGATAAGACTGGGTTAAAAGCTGAAATTGTTTGATGAAATTTGCAGGATTAGTCGTGAAGGATCTAAATCTAGCCTGGATGAGGGCTCGTTCCGTCATTATAAAAGGGGTGTGGACTTGAACGATTTCCTCTACTCTGGCATCCTCGCATAGGGGCACCATTGTATGGCCGGTTTGGGGAGGTTCTGGGTCGGGGAGTTTATGAGATTTGGAATGGATGAGAGGAGGAGTCAGCACAGAAGGTGGAGAAGAGGGAGGTGAGGTAGAGACAAGGGGGTAAGTGGGAGGAAAGAAGGAGGCCAGAGGAGGAGGTTGAGGGGTGGGGGTTGTCTCTTCCTGGTTTCTGAGATAAGGAGTGTTGTGCCCAAGTCGCGAAGTCCTCAAAGACCACCAAGGAGTCATATCCGATGCAACTGCAAGAGGAGTTTATTGCAAGCTCGAGCCTGGACTCTCAGGTGTCACTGTCACAGCGGCTTCAGACTGAGAGCCCAGATCCAACTTTGAACCAAGTTTATATAGGATTTTTCTGTTACTATTTTTAGTTTTCCCTTATCATCAAGGGGCATCGGGAGGGCACATTGGAATATGACCTAATGCTTACATTTGCAAAATTATCATGGGGTGCTGGGAGGGGTGGAGATGCCCTAAAAGAGGAATTGCAATTGTCACAGCACAGAGAAACTGTCACATAGAATGGAAACTATTATATAGAATGGAATTTTTCACAAAGGAACTTTTATATTTACTCTATTCTGGGGAAGGGGTTTGAAGCCCACCATGACCTGGAAAATTGGTCCTCACAGGAGGAGGATCAACACCTGGATCGATCTGGTCTGAAGAGTTGAAACAAAGAGAAGTGGAAGCAGAGATATCCTGAGCCACCATAAATTTGGGGAGGGGAGGCTGTTTTTGAGTCAGAGAGCAAAGAGAGGGCTGGCTGCGGAGATAAGGAAAGCCCGGAACATATGGAATCTCCGACCATTTTCCTTGACTCTCACAGAAGTTATAAAGGTCCTGAATCAGACCAGGTTTAAGTGAACCATTAGGCGGCCACACGTTTTGGTTGTATAACTGATATTGAGGCCAAATTTGAGCGGATAGCTGTATTAGCCATTTAGGTTTTAGGTTTAAGCCCCCAGATTTCAGAGTAAGCACCCCAAGGGAGAGTCCACGGGTATGGAAGACCCAGAGCCCATAGTGACCAGGAATGAGACAGTGAGGTGAAATCCGAGTTCCAAGATGTCTCTTGAGATTTGGAAATCACTGGTTTGGTTTCTAGATTCCAAAACTAGAAATAGGAGACCCAGACTCCAGATGGAGACATTTCTAACATGAGGAGGGGGTCTGGAGGAGGAGGGTCGTACCACCTCTCGAGGTGTCCTTAGAGAGTTGGAGGGCAGAGTAGGCAAGTCCTGGACTTGTCCCAGTAAGCCTCCCAGAGACTCACAATGAATGGCAGATGTGAGGCCTGGTACCCAACCCATGTCCTGGATGGAATTCTCTTTCCTGGCCACCTGAATCTGAGCTCTCCACACCCCAGACCATTATGAGGGCACTTACCCAAAAGTCTGGGGGCAATGGGATCAACTGTGCTGGTGTTTGCAGGGGTGTCATCAGGGAAGATGGTCATGGACTTCAGTTGGGCCAGTTGGAGTGTCAATGGGTTTTGGGTTTCAGGCCTCTGATACTAAGCCAGGGCACCAGCAATCCCAAATCCCACTTCTGACACCAATGAAGAAGCACAGTGATGCTCAACAACTAGGCCACACACCAAGAGGTCCAACAGGAGACTATTTGGGAAGGCAGGCCAGGGAAAGAGGGGAGAGGAGAGAGAGGAACAAAGAAAGGAAGGTCCTTTTATTGTTTTTGGACTGGGCTATTGCTTATTTATGAGGAGTGGGCTACTTTTAACCTATCGCAGGCCAAGTTGCCTTATATGGGCTTATTCCTGCAGAAAATTAGGTTTAACTTTTCCAGACCATTGTGGCCTTGTGGGGAGGGAAACTAAAGATGAGAGCATGAGTTCATTTTAATAGGAAAGAAGAACGAGGAAAATGCTGCCTGTGATGGAAGCATCAGGTCCCTAACAAGGAGAACACAGGTGAAGTCTCCCCAGGGCCCCGCTTCTGTTTTGGGCCCCTGAAAGGTCTGGCTCCTGGGCATCCTGATCGTGCTGAGTGCTGTGGTCCTCAGCTCCCTTTGGAGGGACTTAGCATCCCCTGATTGGCTGAGCACGGACTGCTGGTCCTGATCACCGAGGAGTGAGGTTTGTGTCTGGGCTCAGACTGACAGCTTCTCATTGTGGATTCCAAATTCCTACCGGACTTTCATCAGGTTCCCTGAGACTCCTTAGGATCTGTTCCTGATGACCACAGAAGAATTGTTTTTGCTCGTGTTAAATTGTGTTTTGCACAGTTGAGAATGTGTTCTCCTATTTAAACAATTGTGACTAATGAGACTAATCAGAGTGTCTGGGAGTATTATGTTGAAAAGAAGACTCAGATCCTAACAAGAAAACATCTTGGTTCTCTCTGTATCCCCAACGCCCCCTACTGGCTCTGAATGCCCCTGCAGGGAGGTTTGTGTCTGGGGTCACACTGAGGTCCCCTCACTGTGTCTCTTGCACAGTAATACATGGCCATGTCCTTAGTTCTCAGGCTGTTCATTTGCAGATGCAGAGTGTTCTTGGCATTGTTTCTGGAGATGGTGAATCGGCCCTTCACGGAATCTGGGTAGTATGCACTACCACCATTTGTGTTAATGTTTCCAACCCACTCCAGCCCCTTTCCTGGAGCCTGGCAGATCCAGCTCATCCAGTAGCTACTGAAGGTGAATCCTGAGGCTTCACAGGAGAGTTTCAGGGACTCTCCAGGCTGCACCAAGTCTCCCCCGGACTCCACCAGCGGCACCTCAGCCTGGGCACCTGCAAACATAGACATCCTGCTCAGGAAACTGTCATACTTGTCCACTGTTTATCCCACTCGTATCCATTCACAACCTCAGTTATCTCTTGTTCACCAACAATTACCTTTTAGTACAGCAACAAGGAAAACCCAGCTAAGCATAACCTCCATGGTGAGCTGTCTGTGCTCAATCCTGATCACTGAGTAGGGGCAGCTGGGAAACCTGGGCTGGGCTCCTCCTCTGCAGAGCTGCAGAGTCAGGGTGACCTCTTTTTCATCAGCAGAGGGTGGCTCTATTTGCATGGCTTCTACTATGTAGATAGCTTTGCTGCGGAAACCTCAGCTACAGATGGGTACAAAGCACATGAGAATGTTCCAGGAGATATTATGCAACATTCATAGTAAGGAATATATGATCTCTTACTTGGTGCATGAGTTGTGATGGACACTTAACCTCATTAGTTTTTTCAAGTTTATATATGGATTTATACAATAAATGGGTTTTGTTGTTTCCTAAGTTTTGCAGATGTACACTTAACACAGGGAGCATAATAAATAGACTTTGACCATGTGAAATAGGAAGAAAAGGGCTAAAAGTGTAGGGAAAATGGGAAGGGTAGGGGAAAGGTAATAAGGGAAAAGAAAAAATATGACAAAATGAAAAATGGAAATAAAGTGTTTGTAAATGGGGAGGGGAGGAGGGGGTGAAGGGAGGACAGGGACAAGGGGTAAAATGAGAACCAAGACCTGTCATGTAAAGGTACAAGATCCCAATAATGAATGTAATTGTACTGTATACCTAAAATGTACCAGTAAACTCAATAAAAGAAAAAAAAATAAATAGACTTTGAATTCAAATGTGATAAGAACATCTCATGTATTACTGGCTTGTATGCATTTCACAGTACCTACCTGCTATGTAAGCAATTCTGAGACAAAGTTAGCAAGCTTAGTTATGTCTCCCAGACCTCTTCCTCTAAGGAGAGAACATGACATTTTTCAGCATTCTAATGATTCCCTAAATAAATAGACAACCAGGATTCTTCAAGCCGATATTTGAGCCTGATAGAACCTGTTTTAATACCTTTCTCTGTATTAATATTTTCATACAAAATTATCTTTTTTATATACAATAATTTTAATGATGACATAATGAGATACATTTTAACCCAAACATACATTTTGTTACATAAAGACATAATCATTTCCATGGTCATGTAGGGATGGAAACAGATCCATAAATTCTCCAACAGTTTTCCATAAATTCTTCCTTTAGTCCACACATTCCTTAACTGAAACATTTATTCCAGCAACAGATAATGCGCTTTCATAGTGACAAAATTAGCAGATTAATTTTCTATTATAATGATGGATTGCAAAACATACAAGTTCTTAAATTTCAGTGTTCTTTCTAGTTTGTGCAAGTTGAGATTATGTTACACTTACATGAATATGAAGGTGAAGGAGTACAGAAGTAAATGTATATGCTTTCTAACTGAACACAAATCAAAAACACACACCTTGGAGCTTGGCTCCTTCCAAGTGACTTGCAATGGATGGATTGTGGGGTCACCTCACTTTATTCAATGATAAGGCAGAGAGGAAACCCCAGACATTGACAGAAAGACCCTCATTGCCCAGCTTCCTTTGTGGATCCTCAGTTGCCCCTGCTGGTCCAGATCTTTCCCTATCGGTCTTGGAAATCCCTCTCTCCTTTGTCCTGAGCACCCCTAGAGAGAGCTTGTGTTTGGGCTCACACTGATATCTTCTTACTATACGTCCTGCACAGTAATGTGTAGCTATGTCCTTCATGGTTATTGAGCCCCACTGCAGAGAAAATTAGTTCTTGGATGTGGCTGGGAAGATGCTGTGTTGACTGTCAGGGATTAATTATCAGCTGTGCCTCCACTAAAATCATCTGTCCTGTCCATTCAGTTCCCTTCCCTGGGGGCTGATGGATCCAGCTCCTGAGTGATCACTATTGTTGCAGTAACCAGAACATAAACAGCTGAGGAACAGGCCAAGTCTCATCTTTTGTGGCTGCACCAATGAAAGCACAGAGAGGACTGAGAAGATAGTGAGTTTTGAGTTCAGATGCAGCATCTCCACACCTTTCTGTCTGAGCCCTGGGACGCTCATATCTAGGAGCTGCCACCAGTAAAAAGAGGAGGCAGAATTGTTCCATTTTCTTTCAGATTAGCAATACAAATCCAGGATAATATATTAAATTGTGAGGAGGAACCTCAGGTTTAAGCAAACGTGTGATGTGACTTCATCTGAGATCTGAGTGCCTCCTGCAGCATTTGCGTGTGGGATGCGCTCTTGTATATATGAAGGTGTGAGGGAGACACAGGAGGTCTCTGTTTTGGAGACAGCCCCTGGGTGGAGGATTCTGCCTGAGCCCTCCGAGGGCCAGGTGCTGTCCCTGGCTCCACTGCCTAGGTCCTCTCCCTCCAGGACAGGACTTGTGAGGCAGAAGCTGGTTAGAGCTGGATGAGTTCTCAGATGAAAGAGGGCTTTGCATCTATGGAAACGAGCACACCGGGCCTCGGGAGAAGAGCGCTGTAGGGTTCAGAAATACAGAGCATATGTACATGTGTATGTGTGTACTCACAACGTACATCCATGGTACAGGTCCACATGTGCACATCGACTTCTGGACACTGCACCAAATCCACTTCCATTCTCTGTATGCTCATTCTTAAAATGTGCATATTCCAATGGTTGTTTAAATTTTTATTCCGTATTAGTATTCTACAAGTTTGCCATACATATCCATTACATTACAAGTTACATCTTAATTCTTTTTTGCTGTTCTTCCCATTCCCCTCTTCTTCTCCCTGCTCCTTCCTAATTTTGATCCCCTTCCAATTTGCAAACATGATGATGAAAATAGGGCATAAATTTTTTTAGGCCAACAACTAAATATGGTAGTCCCATCAAATTCGAAGCAAATTGCCTCAAATACAAAAGTTGTCAATTTTACAGGCTTTGAGTCACTCACTCGAAAAAGTTTTCCTTGTGTATGTGAAACTCATTTATACAAATCTATGTTCATGAGTTTCTATGGAGAAAGTATTTTTTCATCTCAAACTTTCTTTCCCTTTTTTCTGAATCAGAGTAGACATTTATACTTTTGTGGTATTATTTTTAGCCTTGTGGAGATAGAACTCAGTCCTTGACTGAGGCATTCCTCTGTAATATAGTGAGTTGTTAGCACGTTCTAGATCTGTAGACTCCCCACTTGATAAAGCATGAACATCAGAGCTGAACACAGAGACGTCTTTAAAATGACCTCAGTTCTGGGATGTGATGGGCACTGGGTTTTAGTGGCATCTACTTTTATTTACTATTGGTGTCCAATTTGTATTATTTTGTATTTAGGACTCGAAATGTTTTCCAGTGCAATGCAGCAAGGACTTCCTGATTCCTTGAAACTGAACACTATGTAAGTGCATTACATAATAGACAGAGTCGCCATAGGCAGAAGGAAGCTACCAGTGACACAAATTAGGTCTCAATCTCCCCTGGAGCTGATCCCCATACCTTTTTGTCTCTGAATCAGGAAACGCTGTCTCAGAGTTCATGAGTAACTGGTGGCAGTGAGCAGAGCCCAGCTCCATCCCCCCATACCATAAGACCCTGAGGATGTGGGCTGCACATTCTGTCCTCCAGTGTGAAGAGGCAGACATACTAGACACAGGAGTCACTCTGTATGTGATGGCACCGCAGGGACCCAGTCGTGCCCAGTAGTCACCACCACTGTTAGTGGTACTTGTCTGCATTGTAGGCACAAAAGGCCATCTAAATCCCCATCTGCTTATCTGTGTTCCCACAAGGACATCATCCCCATTCCCCTGACATGTCACACCTGTGATCGGGCAGGTCCCTGTCCTTCAGCCCCATATCAACACACTTTATTAACTGAATTGTGTGCAACAATCTCTGAAAATACTTTTTGTCCATATCATTTCATGAACAGGGCCTTGAATCCAGCCTATTGCAATCTGACCAGTCATTATTCTGTAGTAAATATTTATTTTTAATACACATTTGCAGGGCATAATTATTGTATTCATCATGTAGAGTAGGTATATGTGGATGATACATAAATTCTTTTAATTCCCAATTCCTCCCCTCCCCATATTAAATAATAGTGATACTACCTGTATGTAGGTATTAACAGACCAACAGTAATAAGAAGGGACAGATTAACAGGATACAGACTCTCTGGGATCAGGACAAGTGACCAGAGCTGCTACGGGCCTGAGGTGGGGAGCAGCGCACCCTGACATCCAGAACTGGGTGAACCTGGTGTTTTCCATGCGGTTCCTTTTCCATATTGCTTACACAGGGCTCCTCCCTGGTGTGGATTTTGATGACACTGTGTGCTGAATGCTTTCACACATTATTTGGATATATAAGGTTGATCTCTAGTGTGATTTGCTTCATCCATTTCATAACTCTATGTAGTGTTTGCTTTTTTCACATTGATTTCATTTATAGGGTTTCTCACTGTGTGAATTATTTCATGTATTTGACAACTTCTCTTTTGGCTGAAAGATTTCCCACAATGCTTACACACATACGGTTTCTCCCCAGTATGTATTCTTTCATGTACTCGGCAATCTTTCTTTTCAATGAAAGATTTCCCACGATTCTTACATACATATGGTTTCTCCCCAGTGTGTATTCTTTCATGTACTTGACAATCTTTCTTTGCATTGAAAGTTTTCCCACAATGCTTACATACATACGGTTTCTCCCCAGTGTGAATTCTTTCATGTATATGACAATTAGTCCGTTGGCTGAAAGATTTCCCACAATGCTTACACACATACGGTTTCTCCCCAGTATGTATTCTTTCATGTACTCGGCAATCTTTCTTTTCAATGAAAGATTTCCCACAATTCTTACATACATATGGTTTCTCCCCAGTGTGTATTCTTTCATGTACTCGACGATCTTTCTTTGCATTGAAAGATTTCCCACAATGCTTACATATATACGGTTTCTCCCCAGTGTGAATTCTTTCATGTGTTTCACAACAACGCTTTCGGAGGAAAGATTTCCCACAATGCTTACACACATACGGCTTCTCCCCAGTGTGAATTCTTTCATGTGTTTCACAACAACGCTTTCGGAGGAAAGATTTCCCACAATGCTTACACACATACGGCTTCTCCCCAGTGTGAATTCTTTCATGTACTCGACAATCTTTCTTTACATTGAAAGATTTCCCACAATGCTTACACACATACGGCTTCTCCCCAGTGTGAATTCTTTCATGTACTCGACAATCTTTCTTTACATTGAAAGATTTCCCACAATGCTTACATACATACGGTTTCTCCCCAGTGTGAATTCTTTCATGTATTTCACAAGAACACTTTCGGATGAAAGATTTCCCACAATGCTTACATACATACGGTTTCTCCCCAGTGTGAATTCTTTCATGTGTTTCACAACAACGCTTTTGGTTGAAAGATTTCCCACAATGCTTACACACATACGGTTTCTCCCCAGTGTGAATTCTTTCATGTACTCGACAATCTTTCTTTACATTGAAAGATTTCCCGCAATGCTTACATACATACGGTTTCTCCCCATTCAGAATTCTTTCATGTACTCGACAATCTTTCTTTACATTGAAAGATTTCCCGCAATGCTTACATACATACGGTTTCTCCCCATTCAGAATTCTTTCATGTACTCGACAATCTTTCTTTACATTGTAAGATTTCCCACGATGCTTACATACATACGGTTTCTCCCCAGTGTGAATTCTTTCATGGGTTTCACAACAACGCTTTCGGAGGAAAGATTTCCCACAATGCTTACATACATACGGTTTTTCCCCAGTGTGAATTCTTTCATGTGTTTCACAACAACGCTTTTGGTTGAAAGATTTCCCACAATGCTTACACACATACGGTTTCTCCCCAGTGTGTATTCTTTCATGTACTTGGCAATCTTGTTTTCCATTGAAAGATTTCCCACAATGGTTACATATATACGGTTTCTCCCCAGTGTGAATTCTTTCATGTATTCGACAGCTTCTCTTTGTCTTGAAAGTTTTCCCACACTGATTACATACATTGGGTTTCTCCCCAGTGTGAGTTCTTTCAGTACTTTGATGGTGACTGTCTGTGCTGATAGCTTTCACACACTGCTTACTTTCATAGGGTTTCTCCCCAGTATGAGAGCATCTATGTCTTTCAAATGAGGACTTATCAGCAAATTCTTCTCCACTTTGCTTACATACAATGGTGTGAGTTCTTTGATGACTATGACACTGACTTTGTGTGCTGAATGATTTCCCACATTGTTTAAGTACATAAGGTTCATCTCTAGTTTGATTTTCTTCATGTATCTCATTACAATTCTGTGTAGTGAATGCTTTTCCATATTGTTTACATACATAAGGTTTCCATCCAGTGGAAATTATTTTATGTTTTTGAAAGGAATGACTATGGGATAATGTTTTCACACATTCCTTAGTTACATAGGGCTTCTCTCCAGCATGCATTGTTTCATTCATTTGAAAATAGTTTGAAGGCATAAAAGTATTCTCTTGTTGTTTGTACACATAAGAACTGCCCACACCCTGATTTCTTTCCTGGATTTGAACACCACTGGGTGTGCTGGAGGCTTTCACATTTTTCTTACCTAGAAATGTTTTCTCCGCAGGCTGAGTCTGTTCACTAAGATCAGAATAGGCTTTCGCACATTGCTCATGCTGACATTGTTTCTCTACAGTGTTTCTCATTTCATATTTCTGAAAGGACCGGAAATCAATGCAGGTTTCTCCATGTTTACTACTTCTATACAGTGTCTCTTCAAATCTCAAATACTTGTCTGCATCATTTCTGTAAAAGAAAAAGGACAAAAATATCCATCACAATGAAAAAGGTTTTCATAATAACTGATCAGGACAAGTTGTGGTTTGATACCTAAGAAATTTGGATGATAAGTTGACTTAAAGGCCTGCAGCATGCCTCCAAAACACCCATTCTCAAAAGAACGGTTCTCATGTGGAAATATTCAATTGGTATATGTTTCCAAAGCATACTATCACGTTTCAATTTAGGGGATGGGTACATATTTGTATCATATTGGCCATTTTTTATATCTTCACTCATCACTCTCCAGTTCTCTCCTTACCCTAATCATCTTTCCCTTCTGCCAAAAGTCAGCCTTTCTGTTTTCTGCCATCTTTCCTTTATTTTACTCCCCCCAAATATTTTTAGTTTCTCATTTAAAAATTTGTTTCATTTAACACTGTGAGATGGAGGCCCATCTAATTTCATTTTTTGGCAAATGATATAAATTGTTGTTTTTGGCTGATTACATAACAATTTTTTTTCAGTGGTGAGAATTAAACACAGTTCTTAGCAGGGAACTATATTTCCAGCTTTATTCTTTCTGATTTTGAAAGAGTTTCTTATTGGTCATTAATTTGTTCAGGCTGAACTTCAATTTGTCACCCTACTGACTCAGCTTCCCATAGTACAGGGATTGTAAGAATGCACCACCATGCTGAGCCTATCCCACATTTTCATCAGCGAGGAATCCAGTGCTGGGCATCAGGCTCTTCCCAGGTGCTGGCTGTTCTGAATTGCTTCCAACACTTAGATAACGTGATTACCTATGGGTGATGTCCTTTGAACACTGGATGCATGCATCACTAACATTTGATGATTTTAATTCATTTCAGAATATACCCAGGGACGTACACTTGTTTCAAATGAAAACATATTTTGAGACATCTGTATATTTATTATCATGATGGTTCCATTTTACATTTTCAACAACAATGTATGAAGCTGATTTCAAAAACTTAAAACATGGACAGCTCAATATTCTGGAGGATGTTTTGAAAACATCTATTACAGTAACACTAGCACTCATATGCAGTTTGAATACTGATTCAATGTTAGCAGTTTTCTAGAAAATAAACCTCATATTCACATGTATATGTGGCTATTTTAAAGATAAATTCTGTCAAAGTTCAATATTAATTCATTTCATATCCGCCTATACACAATACCTAAATGCAATCTCTCAATTTCTGTGAAGTTGACTATGAAATAAGTTTTTATACTAATAGAGCAATATCAGTACTGTTGCATAATATCAGCACTATTTTAGTTTCCTGTATTGGAATATTTCTGTATTTGATTGTAAGATTATACAAAATGAACCTTTATGCACCTCTGGAAATTATTGTGAAATTAAATAAATTGGAACACAGCCTCATTTCTTCAGTTTCCTTGGTTGAAATATTTTTGCTCCCACATTGACTCTGGAGGAATATTTCTTTGTCTTGTGCATGAAAATTACCTTAGATTTCTTGAATAATTTTTGTATTGTTCTTCCATTTGCTGGTTACAACAGCTTCTTCCTGAATTACAGACATAGAAATATAACAAGTCACTATATCATTGTATAAAAATTAATAGATTCCAGTTAGATGTATGGTATAATACAACCAGGCCTGAGACATTCTTCAAATGTTATAATGCTGTACTTAATTAAACTACATCCTGAGCAGTGTGGTGGCACACCTAAGATCCCAGCACTTAGAAGGCAAAAGAAGGACAAGTTCAAGACCAGGCTGGTCTACTCAGTGAGTTTGAGTCCAGCCTGAACTACACATAGCAAGAATGTCTAACAATAAATAAACAAACAAACTTTTTTAAAGTGAAAGATAAAAAACATCACTGAGCAAGCTTGTATAAGTAAGAAAAGGATGTCAGTCTTACCTATAGCGGTCAAATGCATACATGTTTCCAACATCACATCTCTGTAGAGTTTCTTCTGGGGTGGATTCAGCAAAGCCCATTCTGCCTTGGTGAAGTTCACAGCTACATCCTCAAAGGCCACTGTCTCCTAAATAATGACATGTTTCCTGAATGTTCAGATGCACATCCTGAGATTTCTCAACTTCTCTCATAAAAAGCCAATCTGAAGATGATTCCTTCAATATTAATTCTACGTCTTGGTCATCAGACCCATGTATATGTAAATGTATCCACACAGAAATTCTGATGCTAATTCACAGCACATTGCTAAAGTAACAATGGAGTAATAGCACTGGTTCTACTGCGGGATCGCCCACTTTGTATTTATGCATTGTCTTTTAATTCGAGCTCATAGAAGGACCCTGCTAATCACAATCCAAAAAACACAGGGGCACATAAATATCTAATGAATGGTTCCGATATACCATTGATTACATCTCTTTTCAAATCTGGTTATTCATAGCATTCAGTCCATCTTTCTTTGCACGTATGGAGAATTTTGAAATTTGAATCTGGTTTCATAGAAAAATGTAATTGAATATTTAATAAGGTTTATGAATAATTAAAATGCTAAAGGAAACAGCTTGTTTTGGAGCAAGTCTATGTATGAACAATGAAATAGGAGAGCGGCGGCATATTATCTTATTATAGCTCAGTGACACCAAATGGTCACCTTGCACTCAGATATAAGAAATATAAGGATGGTATAAATGAAGGTAATGAGGGGACAAATATTAATAATATATTAAATGCAATGAAAACCAAGATATCACGAAGTAATTTGTCATTAAATACAAAACTCCATCCAGCTATGGTGGAATGTGCCTGTGATCCCTGCACTTGGGAGGCTCATATAGGAGGATTCCCCTGAGTTCAGTGTTCAGCTTGGGCTACATAGGAAGCTCAGTACAGCCAAGATTACAAAGTGACATCCTGCCTCAAATTCCTCCCAAAAGTGAAGCCCTAAAAAAAAAAAAAAATTGTCACTCATTACTCACATCTTTGATTTGTTAAAAAATTATAAGTGTACAATACAATAAAAGACAATAATTCAACACCTCATGAGCAAGGTGATAGCTTATATAATATACATAAAAGACATTCAAATTCCTCCTTCATGTCAGTGTATGATTAGTAGAGAGAATGAGAAATGTACCGCAGGAAAGGAAAACAATCTTCACTTAAATTCCAATGTGTTTCACTCATGTTCAAGGAGAACTTGTATGTCCTTGGAAATCTGGATTGTATACTCTTCTATGTACATAGGTTACATATTAAAATGGGAAGATAAACTTGAATGCCTTAATTATTTATAGTGAAAAAAACATTTAGAGAATAAAAAGTGTTTCCTCGTTAAAAAAATCAGGTAGACATCAGAAGTAGAAGGAGAAACTGAAATCTATGAAAATCACAAGAGACTTTTAACAAAAAATATTTTCTGGGTACCCAACATAAAGATTTTGCATAGAGAATTAAGATTAATCTAAAAAGTAACTACAACACATGTGACTCAAGAGAAACACTGACTATATATAGAACAAGATTCAACTCTTGAGAATAGCACTAAAAAAAACTGAAATATGGAAAAATACAATCAGTGGACTTATGCAAAAATGGAAAATCAGCTGCTACACTTCATACTCATCTCCTTTACTTTGGAGTTACCAAAATCCACAGGGCACTGACTTCTTTCCAACATCCAGAAAATACATCGTGCTATTATTCCTGGGAATAAATGTGATTCTTTCCAAGTAAAATTGAAAAATCAGGAACTTCGTGACCAGTGAAATGGATGAGAAATACTTTTCCCATCATTCACATATCAGTACTTGTGAACAACAGTGAGAGAAAAAAAAAATACAAAAAACTGTCACAAAATATTTCTCTGTGCAATATCCATAATATTGAAATTTTAAAGGAAGGAAGGTAAAAGAACACTACTCATGGAAAATCACACATGGCAAACTTTGGAAAAGTTGCCAAAGGAGGTGAGTGGTCATTAATAAGGAATAACTTGTGACGGGTAGGGTATTCATCACCTGATGTTTAATCAAAGTCCTTCCTCATTCAGCGTGTCTTATCTTGAATATTTTCTCCCAATTATCAATGAACTATAGCAATAATGTGGCCAATGGTGTTTTCCATTTGTACTCCTACAGGAATTGGATTATAAGTAAATACCTACTTCAAGAAAAAAGTGTGAGTTTAACAGGCAGTCTTTCTGGAAGTTGTCCTTCATAGCATGATTTTTTTCTTCACCTATTTAAAATGGCAAAATATCTAGCTTGTGGTAGGATACACTGCAAATCTTCATTAACTGATTAATTTATTCATTAATTTCACTGCTCTTCTGAATATACGACAGGTATGCACATGCTTATGAAGTGACCTAATACTGATTTTAATCATAGGAAATGTTCATTTTCTTTCAATTTTTAAGTGATTTTTAAACACCCTATACTGACTTTGGAACTGTGGGAAAATGAATGTTAATTTTGGAATTTACCATCTTCACAATGAAGCCCAGAGTGGAGCCTATAACTTGTGTGTTTGAGAACTCCAATTTAAGCTTATTACACACTTAGCCTAATTAGATGTCTTAACCACTTTCCTGTCACTGAGACAAAACCTCAACTAAGAGGAGTAGGTTTTATGTTGACTCAGTTTTAGTTCATGTTCTCCTGGTTCCAAGGTAGAAACTGGATGGGAATGTGCAACATGGAGGAAAATGTACTCAAACCATGGCATCCAGAGAAGAGGGAAAGGTGGACGCAGCTACAGACATGGCCCTAGTGACTTGTCTGCAGCAACCCCGCCTGCTAACAGCACAGTCAGGCATGTAAAATATCTCCGAGCAAATCTACCGAACTACAAGGCCTGCAAAACACCAACTTTCGTACTTAAGAAAAATTTAGGGGGCACTGCACAATCATGTATGGTGTGCCTCTGAAAGAAAACATGGCAAGCAACAAAGCCCACCCAAGAATCTCACGTAAGTCCTGAGTCTCCTTCCAAAAATCCCGCTCACTGCACAGCACGGTGAGCAGTGGAGCTGTAGGCACTGAGCTGAGAACATCGAGGTTCTGGTCAAATTAAAAGTACCATCCCTATATAGGAAAGGATGCTTAGGTCTCAGCACCACCCACAGGGCTAGAATGGACCCAACCTGTATGTACCAGTGAAAACTGACATATAAAAACAAAGATTTCTCCACTCATGTGGAGAGGCCCACAACCTGCCAAAACTGGTTCTGTCCACTTCCACCCAGAACTTATGCCTCTAACACAAATTCTACTTCTGTCTTTGGGCATTTGGTCCTGCAATCACCTTCTGGGGGAGTGAGGTCTCCCAGGACCTTCCCACGTAACCAGTCTGTAGAACCCACAGAGCAAGTCAGCCTGACCCAGCTTGAGAGTCTCTCAGCCACATACTGGGAGCTGACAAAGGAGGATTCTATTCTCTGGCCAGCTAGATGTCTCATTTGACAGCTCACACAACCCAAACTCTTCTTCACTGATACAAGGCTGCTCCATGTTCTGCTGAATGAGCCAAAGGGAAAACACTATCTGCTTAATGGAGTACAAATGATAAACTGGAAACAAAACACTTGCCTGCCCAAGCTTCTCCTGGATCACTGACTTGACCCAGCCTGTTGGATCAGTGACTTGGAGTAGGATTTGCTCCTAGCTCTGTAGAACTCCTTAAGTCTGTTTACTAACTGTACTCTGGGGGATCAATTTCTTGTCCTAGACGATGGCATCACATCTCTGTGACTGTACTTCCAGATTCAATGACACGTAGAGAAAACCACCAAACGCAAAGAATCTGTGCCCAGGTAAAGGTTGAACACAATACAATAGAAGTACTAAGGTCATCAGAGGGTAGAAAATAGAAGGAGACATTCTACTGCATGGCACAGACTTTCTCACACATTATCTCTTAATCTAATCATCATCAATAAAGAAAACAAAAGCATGCCAACAGGTACTTCTCTGTGATGAGGCAAAGAAAGGTAAAAACTTAATGCAGTAAATTTTCCAAAATAGGTTCTTTCCTCCTCACAGCATGAAAGTATTTCTCCTTTGGCATATTCATTTCACCAAAGTAATAGTCAAACCTGATGTCACCTGATGGCTGACTTTGATTGTCACATTGGTCGGCTAGAGAGATACCTAGATTGTTAGTAAAGACATGTCTGAAAGTGTCTGGCAGAGGCAAGGAAGCATTCATGACTATGAGATGACATCAGGTGCATGGCCTGTTCCCCTCACCCTCTTTTTCTGCTGCAGCCTCTCCACTGGAAGGCTGAAGACTTTATGGTAGGCGCCTGGAGAAACTTGAGACCAGCATCCAAAGGCAATGGCAAATACCAGAGCTCATCCACAGAAAAATAAGACTTTTCCCTTTTTATTCCATCTAGGGTACAAGCCTATGGGTTGTTGTCAACCACACACAGGGTGGGCCATCCCTCCTGTTCTACACACTAGTCTTCCACAGAGAAACGCAAAGCTTTACAAATGGCTAGGTTCTTACTAACTTGAGACCAGCATCCAAAGGCAATGGCAAATACCAGAGCTCATCCACAGAAAAATAAGACTTTTCCCTTTTTATTCCATCTAGGGTACAAGCCTATGGGTTGTTGTCAACCACACACAGGGTGGGCCATCCCTCCTGTTCTACACACTAGTCTTCCACAGAGAAACGCAAAGCTTTACAAATGGCTAGGTTCTTACTCATCAAGGGTTCATACCACAATTAATCATCGCAAAACAATCTTTTTTTTTGTAAATATGCCCTTGACAGATATTCTTCATATATAGTAATTATTTTTTGACGCCATCAAATCTTTGCAGGTCACCAAGCAAACATTTTCCAGTAAGAGCCCTATGGCAATCAGACTCATATCCTCAGGCAGAAGCAGCCTGGAAAATAATCTGTATGTGAGACTCCTGCTCTCCAGCACTCTGAAGGTTCTCATAGTTAAGACCACTTCATGGTGATCCAGGATTTAAAGCAATAACATAATTTTTATTATAATAAACCAAAGATGTCAAAAACTTATTTTTAAATGACAAAATTTATCCAAAAATATGTCCGATTATTTTCTGTGCATTGCTTCTCTTACCACTTCGATTTAGTACAGAACCCAGCAGGTGCCTTCCTAGTGACTGACACACTCTAGTCATCTTTGTAAAACTATTTCTGTACATCCACACAAGTAATGCATGCTGTCAGTTCTATAACAAATCCTAAGCACCTCAGAACTTCCTCTCCCTTTCAAAAATTGTAATTGCTCAGAGCCAGGGATTTGGCTCAGGGGTTCCACGGCCTGCCTCACATGGGCAAGGGCCTGAGTTCGGTATCTGGTAACCACCCCCCAAAAGAACAACAAAAAGTGTATCTGATCTAAGTTTGAATTCTTCGGAGGCTGAAATCACATCACTCAATTGAAATGATAAATTTGCAACTGTTTCACAGGACCTATGATGACAATTTAGATGTATACTACAGACAAACTTGGTGGGGCTAACTCTAACCCTAACCCAAATGTTAACTACTCAGTCCTTTATCTGCTAAGTGAAGATTTCCATTCCACTCCCTTGTTCTGTTGATAGAAGCCAAACAGTATTATCAGAGTAAGGCACTCCTTAATAATAAAAATAAAAAAATTCAAGCAAACAAAGAAAAAAATCCAAAGTAGAATTCCCTTTTCCAAACAGTATTATACTGTTCTCCAGATACAGTTGCTCAGGAGAAACAGATAAATGCAGTATGACAAACAGGTACAAATCTGATGGGTGTGTCCTATACTACAGAGGACCACAGGAAGTGTGGAAAGAATGAGTCTATGGTACTACTTGAGTTTGAAAAAGAAAACATCTTGACTGACTGTAAGGAAAGTTAAAACTTTAAGTTGGAAAGGCTTGGGTTAAGGCTTTCGGCTCTCTAAGGCGCATAATCACTAGTTCACCTCTTCTTTCCCTGGATACCTGGCCAGTTCCCTGGAAAAAAGCAGGAAGGACTTTGTTAAAAAGACCAGATGTTCTTAACATCAAGATAAGGAATGTGATACATTCCGCCCCTCCCAGACCCCTGGCCAGGGCCTGGTTGGGACGTGACTGCAAGCACATTCACCTTTTTCCGCGCCAAAAGTACAGGTAGTTTTACTACCTATGTCTAGAGAGCTATATAAACAGCCCGCCTAGCCCAGGCTGCTGCTGCTGTCTTACGTCCGGGATTGAGACCTGTAGCCCAAGGGATTGCTGAAGAGACCCGTGCTGTGTTGCGAGTGATAAACCTAATTCCTCCAACATTCCGATGTTGCCAGAGAGCCTAAGGGTAATTTCCAGGATAGAGTCCCTCTTGCTGTTAGAGGACTCTTTCTTTATCCTCTCCATTCTTACTTTTGTTTTCTGTATGCACATATCCTTCAATAAACTTTCCCTTTTATACTTATTTAAGGCTGGTGGACGTTCTTTTAGCGGATCGAGCCAAATTAATTAGGAGACCGTACACGGCAAAGGGCAATAAATAAAATTTATCCTTACACTGACCTAAAGGTAAACGAAGATAAAATATAGTGAAAATGTACAAAATATCCTCAATGAAGCAAACAGCATCACTAAGCCCTGGATCCTTTTAACCTGCTCAATACACATACCTTGATCTGTATTTAGGAACTCTAATAGAAAACAAAGCCAAATTTATAAGAGAACAGTAAATATAGCATGTACTTTATTGAATACAATACAGTGTAAATCCTGGCTGTTCACCTGTAATGTCCTGCTACTGGAAAGCAGTGACTCATTATTATGAGTCATCATGACAAAGAATTATACTGTACTGTGCCATGGACCACTAGTGTGAAAAATGAGTGAAATTTAAAATTAAATATAAGATCTTTACTAAAAAACTTTATTTTTTATTACTAGAGCCTTAACTTGAGGTCTCATGCACTTTAGACAAGTTAGGCTGAAGTGGCTGTATATCCACACTATTTCACACTGAAATACTGTCTACCGAGTGGCTGGAATTAGAAGTTTACAACACAATGCCTCAGTGATTTTACTTTACCCTGCTGTGCCCAGCGCGATGTCCCCAAAGACCACCAGGGAGTCAAGTCCCATACAATCACGCAAGGAGTTTATTGCAAGCTCGAGCCTGGACCCTCGGACGTCATGGACCAAACAGATCAGAAACGAGAGCCCCAACCCTCTTCGGAGGCATACTTTTGTAGGGTTTGGGTGGCCTAAAATCTATTCTTTTCCTATTGGTGCTTTATCTTACTTTTTATTGCTATTGGATGTTGCTGGGGTGCTTGCAATAGAAAGATAGCTATTTCAGCCTAGGGGAGGGGGGGGCTCTAGTTCGGGGAGTGGTCAGGGTGTTCTTTCTCCAGAGAACATCCTATGTTTTTAAACAGTTAGGCAAAAATCCCCTCTGTGCTCAGCAAAGCATGCGGTTTCCTTGCTCAACTTATTTTGCAAACTTAAGCAACTATCCGGGAGGACATAGGTTCATTCGGGTCAGAACAAGAGAACAGAAAAAAAGGAAAGAGGTTAATATACAAAACGGATTCTCTTCTGCTCTCCACCCAGAAAACTTGGTTTCTACATTCTGAGCAAAGGGAAAAGAGGGAGTCCACCTTGATTAGAAAATTTGGTCCCTACAACCCAAGCACTGAAATCTTGGTAAATTATGGTGAGTCAGAACCCCAATCTTTAACCAGAAAGATTGCATATGTCTGTGTCTTCAACTATCAAGGAGATGAAAACAGTATCCGACTTCTAACAAGCCTGCAAAACTTAGGAAGACCTAGGCACAAAAATTAAAAAACAAAAAAAGCTCAGGGCAAAATTCCAGAGTTCAGTCCCTATACAATGAAAAAGATCAATTCCTAATTTCCAGTTATCCCTCAGAAGTGACTAGGTGGGCTGATCAGAGGTGACAGAAGAAATATTTATGTGTTACAAAGTCCCCTTCCTTTCTTCAGGCCTGTGACCTTTCACCCTCTCTCAGACCCAGCCTGCAGTCAGTGCTTCACTGAGGGTCACACTAAGCACTCTCTGACTTCCGGAGAAGTTTCCTGTTGTACTTGCTGATTTTGCCTCCCTCCAAAATCCCCCGTTCTCACATTGCCTTTTTACTCCCCTTTGCTCTTGCCTATTCAAAAAACCCTTCTATTGTATTCATTCCTATGCTCAAAGACCTTAACCATGGGAATTGACCCCTACTTCAGTACTTGTTTTATACAAGGTCTGTCTCAATCAGAGTTTTAATTTCTAAAACAATGTCTAGAAATATTCCGTGGACTACAGCAATTATTTCAAAGATGATACACATTGCCCTTTCCAATCGTAACAGTATCTCATGCATGTCCCTGTAGATCCCCCAATTTAACGTACTTCTTGGTGTGGGCTCAGTGTGCAGCCTCTTTAGGAAGTTGTCCTCCTTAGCAGAAACACTTTTCCCTCCATTGCTGGTACTTTATCCTGCCCATTCTACATTCTATGGAAAGCCTAACTTACATGGACTCACGGTAAAAAATATTATACTTCATTAGCTTGTAAATAAGGCCCGTAGCTAGTGAAACCACGTGAGATACAGTTGGGTAATTAGCCATTTGATAACAATTAAAATGAGATGCCAGGCTTGCGTTCATACACCTATAATCACATCGCTTGGGAGGCTGAGGCAAGAGGATCACCACAGGTTCCAGCCCAGCCTGGGATACAAAGTGAGTTCAAGGCCTGCCTGAGTTACACAGTGAGATCTTGTCTCAGAAAACATACATACATACATACATACATGGAATTAAAATGAGAATAGACAATTACCTAGGATTTTGGAGCAAGAGTGAAATTTCTGCATTACACGGAATGCAGCCCCCTCCCTCCCTACTAAAAGTACTTGCAGCAACTCCTACTAAGCTCCTGAGTTTCAAGAAACTTAAAATAAAAAATAACCATTGTTTCTCCAATTTCCTTTGTAGGCTGAGGAAATGGGCTAGAGTCTAAGTTTGAAGTGGTTGCTTTAAATGCACAGACCCATCTGTGATAGGTGGCCACTAAACAATTCAACTAGATGGTCACTAAATAATTCAGCTATTACTGTGTTCCACCTGTTTATGATTAGCTCTCAGTTGAGTGGCCACCTGGCTATCCACTGGGAACATTTCCTGGAAATCAGGGAGCTATTTTTATTTCCTCTAAAATCTCTCCTAATATCTTTCTTTTGGTCAAAACCTCATTCTGTGTGAGACCAAACCACGAGCTCTGTTCATGCAGTAAAACCACTGTGAGCAGAGGTCTCACGTAAATAGAGAGCTTTTTTATTGCTGAGCATGGAAACCAAGGTTTCCCCAAAAGCCCCTGTTCTCAGACTGGTGGAGAAACAGCTCTGCCTGTGGCTGCCCAAGGAAGCACACTGGGCTGGCAGTGTCACAGTTACAGGATGCTGGGGACTTCAAACTGCCCCTGCCCGAATAAAAGGGAAAAGGGACAGATGATGCAGAACCAAAGACTTGGAAGACCTCGGTGACTGGAACTAAGCAGGGAGGATGCAGATTCTCACAGCTGCTTCTGGGTACTTTCTTTCAAAACCCACCCGATTCCATCCCATTCTCAGCTTCCGTCCCACAACATCACCATTGCGTGGCTTGTGGGTCCCACGGGGTCCTTTGAATGCAGCTCGCAGCCAGGAGAAATTACAGAAACAGGCGGTTTATTTAGCTGGGGAATCTCGGCAGCCCGTTCACGATGCACACTTCAACGCCATGACACAGGAAGAGCCCGCCAGGCTCCCTCAGCCCACCTGATTGGATGGTTCAGTCAGCCCCGCTGATTGGCTTCTGCTCCATTGCCAGCCCCCTGAGCTGAGTGACAAGAGAAACAATCCTCTAAGGGCTAGAGTGGACCTCAAATAGTAATGAAGTAGTAACCCAGGAAATTCTGAACCAAATCTCTCTCCGGCAACATCAAACTACTCTCTTATGAGGAATAATTGGAACTAAGGGCTTTCCTCCTCGCTCTTCAGAGCTGCCCTTGTTTCTTAAAGGACTCAGTGGACTCTTCCTGAAAGTGAATAGGAAGTGTCCTCAGGCGGTTTCAGGGTCAATGTCCTATGAAAGAATCCATCCCCTGATACCAGAAAACACCACAAGTCCAGGCTGGACCAGGAAAGAATGGCAGAGAGGGAGGTCTGCTGTTGGGAGTGAGGCAGCAGGATTCAGTGTCATTATTTTCAGTCTTTCTGTCTACTCATTTTCATCCCAGAAAATGAATGTATGTCCCCCAAGAGGAATACAATTATTGGGTAAATGAAGAAGTTAGAGTTGTATGATAACAGTATTCTGCAGAAGAGTAAAGATGAAAGAAAAACATTCCAACTCCCTCAGACAATCTTCATATTTTATCCAGGGTCATTAAAAAATGCCTGAATCTTGAAGATAAATGTATAGAAAAGCATGAGGAAGGTGTGAGGCCTTAGTTCTGAGGGTCATGTGAATTCCTGCTGGTTGGAGACCAATGTTAATTATTGAATAGATTTTCCAGTGTCCATACAACAGTCCTCTGACACCAGGCGGAGGCTCATGTCAGCTGAGAATCCCCAGAGCAGTGCCATATCTATCCAGGTCTAACATGGGGAAATTCTGACAGGCCCATGCTTGTAGGGCTCTGGGTAGTGTCTGGTGAGCATCCAGAGAACAGAGGAAAATAGCCAGAATCTTAACTCTTGCTTGTTAACCAGGCAGAGGACTGTGTGCAATTGTGTTATGTAGAGACTATGTCCAGGACTCTGGCAGAAGGCAGAGTGGAGATACCCATGTGCCCAGAGTGGAGGCACTGTGTCTGATGCTGAATGGATGCTGCCACAGTTCAAGGGTACCAGGAAGAAGTTTACATGGGTTTGGAGTACTGTCATTTGAGTGATGCAGATGAAAACAACATTGAGAGTCCACCTTACCCCAGAAAGAATGGCTGCTATCAAGAAATCAACCAATAGCAAATGCTGGCGGGGTTGTGGGAAGATAGGAACCCTTCTCCATGGTTGGTGGGAATATAGACCGGTGCTTCTATTGTGGAAATCAATATGGGGATACCTCAGAAACTAGGATTAGAAGTCCTATTTGACCCAGCTATTCCTCTGCTGGGTATCTTCCCCAAAGAATTCAAAGAATCAAATCACAGTGTTGTATGTTTTCCTTGTCCTCTCTGGATCTTGTCCTTGCATCCTCAGTGCTGATGCCTGCACAGCTCCTGCCTTCTCTCTTTGTCACCTATCCTATGAGGCGGTCCCCAAGTCCACTGACTGGCCGATACTGTCAATTTGCCATTGTCACATAAAGTCCAGGATGCCTCTTGTTTTAAGGCATCCTATGATCTATGAAACAACTGCTATGGATAGGTGACAACCTCAACTAAATAACACATGTCTTGTGTTTCACTGGCAAAGATAATCCTAGGAATTTGGGGAAGAAATGGAGTCAGTCTGTTTAAAGTCTCCATTGTACACATGATACTCCCGTGTGTCATAGTCGGTCATTTGAACTATAAGTTAGATGGCACTATTTCTGCACACTACATTCTGGAATTTAAACTTCTTCCCTCATCATACACAGATATTTCTATAAAATCTGATAGTCTATGGTGATAATTAGGTTTTAGATCAAATACTGACAACTAATTACCCATCAGTTTCTAGCTTCCCTCCTCTTTAAACTGAACTAAGAAACTTGCCTCAAAACCATTCAGATACTATGGATCTTGTTCTTAAAGTAGTGGTTTTGATTCTCTACTTTGATCTCAGGAGGATTGATGTAAAGCATGATGAAACCATTCTTTGCCAAAGGAAACTTGCTGGTTGAGAGTGATTTAGCCAGTTCTTTGCCAGCAAAACTAAACTAGTCATTGTCACCAATTGTTTTGAGGACAATACATTTACTGTTTACATTCAGACAGTTTCAAATCAAATCAGGGATTGGTTGTTACCTTACTCGTGCATGTTTCCATGGACACTTAGAAATGTTCTTTCCTGGACAACATATGGGCCAACATGTTATGGCTCAAAATGCAGTGGACAAAATAGATGAAGATTGTAGAATCCTTGACCAGGTATTTGGGGCCACTATAAGGGTCTGTTTTGTCCTGCATTGAGGTCACATGAGAATTGTTGGAGATGTTCAGTTGTACTGAAGGAGGCTCCCTACCTGCCCCAGGCACCCAGGAGGATTGGGATTCATACTCTGCTCAGTCAGGGATGTTTCCATTGCAGTGAGAGAAGGATGCAGAAATCCTAGACCTCTGTCTCAGGGCTGAAATTCTGAGCCTTGTTTAGCTCCATATTTCCTTTATAAGTGCAGCCTGGCTTTTGTGTATGGAGTATTTAGAGAAGACACCCATGCCTGTTCACTTCCCTGCCCTTAATCTCATTTCTTTGCTTCCTTGATGGCTTCTTTTGAGAACATGTGTTAGTCCACCTCCTACATATTAATCCATATCTTCTGTTTAGGAATATACTCAAGACAATGCACATTAACAGAAGGTGAGAGATTCTTCTACAAGGAATGGCTTTGTAAGAAGGGCCCATTTCATGCTTGTGATGGAGCATGAAGTCAAACCCAGCCTAAGCTGAAATATGAACAGATTGCAGCAGCCTGCTCCTGCGTGCACTGGAGGGTAGATACACATAGTAGGTCTCCTATAGGTAGAAGCCAACAATGGAGCCTCTTTTCTCTCCTGAACTTCAAAGTGCTGCCCTCTGCTGTGATACTTCTTGGTAGAGTTCACCAACAACAATGCCAAAATTGATGTTACTCAGTCCACTGCTGTTACCATGGGTCACACCTTGCCTTTCTCTGCGGAATCACTCCATTTGTTCCACAGCATTTCAACCACACAGTGGCTGATTCGACAAATCCACCATTTCTCAAAGGAACATTGTGTAAAGTGAATTTAAGGGATATGCTGAGACCTTGCAGAATCATTAGTCAGTATGGGAGGTTAATCCAGGCTCTATGGCAAGGACTTTGTCATGATGGACCTGTGTTGAAGCTTTGACGTCTGAATCTGACAGGTCTATGAATATTGTGCTCATCAGACTCCCCACTCCACACTTGCCTCACCTAATAAATCCAACTGATTATGACTCCAACAGTTAGAGCACCTCATGAAGGCATTTGAGGAAAAATTCTACTAATGAATAATGAGAGCCAAGAAAATGCTCATCACAAATGTGATTACCTTCATTAGTGTAGCAAGTAATAATCTATTTATTATCATAACACTAAAATGTGTTCCTACTGTAGTTACTAAATGATACTATATTGTATTATTGGAAATGAAATGAACCATTTAAGTAGAAATAATTTCGGTCATCTTTGTCACAAAACATGAGGGAGATGCTCTTGTCGTTATGGACCAGGAGGAAAAAATGATCCATTCATAACTGCCATTTATTCTAAGATTTCTCATATTTAATTTTATTTGAATGATCTTATTGTGGGTCTTTGCATTTAACATTTGAAATGAACCACTTACATGCTCCACACCAAGTTATAAAATGCAATACTAATACAGCATGTGTGGAAGATCTTGGTTGTGAGTCATGATATCCTGGAAGGCCATACGATGCGAGGTGAGAGAGCCAAAGACACAGAAAAGAGACTTGAACAGAAAGTGGAGATCTGGAAATTGCTGAGCTCCTCCGGGCAACAAAGACAAACAACACCCAAGACCTCTGGTAGTTACTGGTTACAAGCACAGGATAATCTCAAGGCCCAAAATACTCCTGGGAATTCTGCAACCACTTGTGGAAGACTGCTGGTTGTCACAATGTGATATACATGGGAGGATCTTGAGGCAACCCTCAAACTGAGCCCTGAGGCCATGTAGTTGCCCTTAGATGTGAAGCCACCACCATAGCCCACTAACCCTGGTGATATAGTATCCCGGTCATCTTGTAGGAACAGCAGCTACCTGCTGAGTGTGTTCATATTCATGGGAGATATCCAGGTTTTGCAGGACAAGTTGTCCTCAGGAAGGACACAGTGCTGAGCTGGTGGACTCCAGCTGTTGATCTCTTCTTCTTCTGCCCTCAGACTTCAGGGCAGATATGGACACAATCTCATTCCTAAAACTCCCAAGTATGAGGCCAGTTCCCTGCAGGAATGCATGTAGCCTCCTGGGTTTGAGATTCTTGGTACCATACATGAATGTATCTACACACCCCGAAAAACTCCAGTAGGGGACAAATGAAGAGAGAGGGAGAAATGACCTGAGATTCGAGGAGTCCTGAGCAGGATCCGGAAGTTGGCGGAGGCAAAGGCTAAACAGGGCTGTGCTGCTCCTCCGTCTCTTTTGCTTTGGTGACTTAACCATCTTCTCTTCTCAGGTGGGCCTGGTGCTGCAGCTCCTTCAGCTTTAATCCAGTTCCGTCCCAATGGTGCACGCTGTGATGTGAGATTTTGTGCTCTCTATGATTTCCTGCCTGTGACCATCATAAGGTCAGTCTAGGTGTTTGTCTTATTTTCCCCTGACAGCTACTCCTCTCCCGGAGACAGTGAATTTCCTTTAATGTCTTTCCCTGTGAACTATTTTGGCTTCTTTAGGTCATCCTTGAAGGATGGGTGGCTGTTCTGTAATTAGAATAATTCTCCTTTAAGTAGGGTCATTTTCTGGTAAAGTCATTTGCTGAGCATCTCTGTCTGAACCATGGTTTGTGCCCATTTCTCACTGATTGGTCCTCCCTTTCCCCCGTCAGAGCCTTGTGTATATTGGTCCTCCCTTTCCCCCGTCAGAGCCTTGTGTAAAATTTTTGAATTTTCCCATGAGATCCTTCTGGGGGCTACTGGAGGTAACATGTGGGCTATGCGGCCCCCAAAAGCATGACATGAACTTATCGTGGTCCTCTCCTGTCCTCCAGTCATCCAGCATCCCTGCTACTATGTTCCTCAGGCTTCTTCTGCACCAGGAAGCAAGGTTCACCGGTAATTCCGGATCTTGCTATTTTTCTAGGTTTCTTTGTAATCAATCATTCAGTCTGCAATTATATTTCTTTAAAAGGGTCTGTGAACACATTGTGATATTAATTTTTCCACTTGTTTATGGACTTGAATAATTGTGTAATGGTTTTCAACAACTTTATAGGTCAGTACGAATGCAAAAAGCACTTATAGTGGCCAAATTTGAAGTCTGCTCAGGGCTTCCTGAGACCCTTTTAGTCCGAATTGTAAGATCAGTAATTCAAAATGGCATTTATCATGACTGGACACTAAATTACAGAGAAGAAAACTTTTAGAGTTTTCAGGGATCTATAGGTAGCTGGGAATCAGAAGTTTCAGTGGAGAGGATCTCACTGCATCTCAGGTGAGGTAATATTCAGGAAGCTGTCCACGGCCTGGGCTGGCCACAACGATGCACCCGGACATCACACCACAAACAGGAAATCTCAGTTTTAATTTTTTCCTCCCAAGGTGCAGAGCAGGGTGAGGAGGTGGAGGTGCTTTTGTCTTCTCCTGAAGAATGTGACTGTGAGGCCCCTGGTCACTACTGTGGGAGGGGGTCTGTGTTGTAAGGATGTCACTGCAGCTCTGCCTTCAGGAAAAGGACGTGTGGGGATTTGGTGTGCAAAGTATTTTTTCTGCTCACTATGTAACTGTATCTTGGCTACTTCTCTCATTGCTGTGAAAAAAATTCCCAACCGTTATGCCCAAGTTGTGAAGTCCCCAAACACCACCAAGGAGTCAGGTCCGATGTAATTACAAGAGGAGTTTATTGCAAGCTCGAGCCCAGACCCTTGTACTTCACCGACTGCTTGGATCAGAGAATTATAGTTCAGACCCATCTTTGAGGCAGGATTATATAGGGCTTGGAAGACTCTTCCTTTTTATATCTGCTATTTTTATCTTTGGCTTACTCTTGGGCTTTTGAGGGGTACTGGGAGGGCACTTACTGGAAATGGGAGGGCACCCATGGAAAATCACATTCACAGAATTAATTCCTCTTTCCAAAGAACATCTGATTAAACAAATTCTATAATTAACAAAAACTACATATGTAAGCATTGAATAATACCTATGTTAGCAAAATCAGTTCTTCTTTCTAAAGAACATTGATTATCTTAAGCAGGAAGAATTCATCCTTAGATCATAAAAAGGGGAACAGAAGCAGGGTAGAGATGGCCTAAGACAGCTTTGGCCTAAAAAGAGGAACAGAACACAGGGAGACTTGTCATACAGAATGGAATTTTACAGAATGGAATTTTTGCAGCTCTGTTCTGGGCAAGGGGCACAGAGGTGGGCAAAGGGCACAGAGGGAGCCCACCTTGACCTGAAAACTTGGTCCTTACACCAACACCCCAAGTTAAAGTAGTAAAAGTATTCTAGTTCACACTCTAGAGGTTTCAGTCTATAATTGGCTGGCCTCAATGCAGGGTGGCATGGCAGAGGGGCATCACAGAGGAGAGACTGTTCACTGCAGGCAGAATACAGCAAAAGCAGCAAGCGGTAATGACAAGGGACACACTAGTTCTCTTTCTCTCCATTGTATTTTTACCCAGGCTACCCACCTTGAGGGCACATAGCATTCACACATGGGATGGGGCAGTCTTAATCCTGTCCAAAACTATGCCAAACTAATTGGTGACTAATTTGATAATCACACACAATTCATCTCAGCACCACACTCTAGATCCAGCCACCTCTGCAAAAGCCCCACCTATGGCCACATGAAGCTCTGGGGAGACATCTAGACACGGACCATAACAAAGTGCTTCACAGAAGCACAGAAATGTAAGAATGACATGATTAGTTGAAGAGGTATATTTGACTAGTTTAGGAAAATTAAAGAATAGAGGACTGATAAACACACAATTCACTGAGATAAAACTGATATAAAATAAAGACAGTGTACAAAGGCAGAACTTTGTGAATTGGTTCAGGAGAGAAAAAATAATATTATGAAACTGGAGTGTTTCACCTTCTGTATTCTCCATTGTTTTACAGATACATAAATTGAATCCTTAAAGGTGATAGAGAAGGAGGGAAGGAAGGAGAGAAAGAGAGAGGATCACAAGGGCCCTGGATGCTGCCCCAAATGCAGTCCTACTGCCCCTCTTCCTTCCGATCCTTAGCTCTGGGCTGGGCATGGAGCTGAGGCTGATCCTGGGGACCAGAGCTCCTGAGGTGGCCAGCACAGGAGAGAGCTGGGTGTCCTCAGACCCTGTAAATAAGGGTGGGAAGGATTTAGTTTCCAAATCTGAAGCATTTGTTTCTGCATGAGACAACGCCTCATAATTAGGATTATATCAGCAGCTTCATTTTTGGATGATGATGATGATTAGACATTCAAAAAGAAAACTAAGTTCACGAGTTACTTCCAAATGGGCACCCATCAAGTGAAATTCATATATAGATGATGAGAAAGTGAATACCTCAATAATAATTACACTACTAAATTTAACGGAATATTTGCTTGAATTTGGATACTTCAGAAGTCATCCGCAGCACATACATGGCACGGTATAGTCAGGTCGTGTGATGTTGATACAGAAGGGAAACCCCAGAGGCCTGCAGGAAGCCCTCATGCCACTGCTTCCTCCTCTGCACCTGCTCCTGGGGCCCTGCTTGGTTCTCTGAGGGTCACAGCGGCCCCTGCTGGGCTCGCGCCCCCCTGCAGGGAGGTTTTTGTCTGAGCTCGCACTGAGGTCTGCTCACTGTGTCTTTTGCACAGTAATACAGGGCCGTGTCCTCGGTTCTCAGGCTGCTCATTTGCAGATACAGCGTGTTCTTGTTGTTGTCTCTGGAGATGGTGAATCGGCCCTTTACGGAGTCTGCGTAGCGTATGGTACCACTACTGCTACTGATGGCTGAGATCCACTCCAGCCCCTTCCCTGGAGCCTGGCGGACCCAGTGCATGGCATAGTCACTGAAGGTGAATCCCGAAGCCAAACAGGAGAGTTTCAGGGTCCCTCCAGGTGGCACCAAGCCTCCCCCGGACTCCACCAGCTGCACGTCAGACTGGACACCTGCAAACACAGAGACATCCTGCTCAGGAGACTGTCACACATGTCCAGTGTTTATCCCACTCAAGTCCACCCACACCCTCAGTATATTTTGTTCTAAATAATTACCTTTCAAAATTGCAAACAGGCAAACCCAGCTCAGGCCAAACTTCATAGTGAGCTTTCTGTGCTCAGTCCTGATCACAGAATGGGAACACCTGGCCACCCAGCGCTGGGCTCCTCTCCAGAGCTGCAGAGTCAGGTTTTTCAACAGCACAGAGAGGCTCTATTTGCATGGCTTCCTGCTATATAGACAGCTCTGTGGATGAAAATCTCAGAGAGGGCTGGGTCTGCATCTGATGTGATTGTCCTGAGGAAGTCTGGTAGTAAAGACAGAATTCCAGGGAATATGTGACATCATTGTGTGATAGTGTTCTTTTGCTTAACTAAATCTTTATCTCCTTTCATTTTTCTCCATGTATACATATTATGCAATGTGTGTGTGTGTGTGTGTGTGTGTATATGTGTGTGTGTGTGTGTGTGTATAAATGTTGCTCGCTTTATAAACATGTAGCGTTTTAAAGTGTATAAATAGTTGTGTTATTAATGCAGGCTTTGATGCCCAGTAAACACTATCCTCTTTGTGTAGGCCTATGTTCTCCTAGTTTGTAAACAATCAGTCTCCTGATCCAGGCCCCTGGATACACTGGAGAGCTTGTCAGATCTCTATGACTGCAATGAGAAGATGTGTGACTTTGACGCTTTCTGTTCTTTGCCTAAAGAAAACAGAGCCAGTGTTCATGTGGCTGTCTGGAAATAGGTTTCTCATTTTCACGTGACATGATCTATGATCTGTCAGTCTTTATCTACCTTCTTACCTTTAAAAAACTTTTTAACTTTTGTATTTATAAACAGTTTCCAGTAGGTAATACTGACATTAATCGTGGGTGGTTATGTGTACTGTACATATGATACATTTTTTTCACTCCTTCTCTCTTTTTGTGAAATCCCTAGATCCATTTTTTTTGCAAACTATTTATCTCTCTGTTTCTTATTATCTTTCTTTCATTTTGCCTTTTAATGTACTTCTATTTTTTTCATGTAAAAATTCTGCTATGTTTAAGGTTTTCTGACAGTTATTTCACTTGGATAATGTGGATACTTTTCTCAACTATTCTTTAATCAATGGACTAACAACAAGAATATCAAGTTTTTAATACATTTTTAATTTCATTGCTTGATTCTAGTTTTTTTAGTATTGATAGGTCTTCATTCAACTTTAGTAATGCATATATATCTAGAAATCTGTCCATTTCTTCTGTTTTCCATCTTATTGGCATATAGAGTCTCAAAGTAGGTATTGATGATCCTCTGGATTTCTGCTGGGTCTGTTTTAATTTCTCCCATTTCATTCCTAATTGCATGGACTTGGGCTTTTCTTTTCTTTTTTTTTTTTTGATAAAATTGGCTAAGGTTTTCTACTGAATTCTACAAGACATTTAGATAAAAACTATCGCCACTACCATTTAAACTTTTCCACGAAATTGAAAGGGAAGCAATACTTCCAAATCCATTCCTAGAAGCAAGCATCACTGTGATCCCAAAAGCTGAGAAAAAGTGAACTACAGGCCAATCTCCCTAATGAACATACATGCAAAAATCCTCAGTAAGACATTGGCACAGAGAATGCAGAAGATCATCAAGAAGATCATACTCAATGATCAGCTGGGATTCATTCCAGGGATGCAACATTTCAACATAAGCAAATCATAAGTATAATACACTATGTTAAAAGAGCCAAGGACAAAAAAACATATGATCATCTCGATAGATGCAGAAAAAGCATGCCACAAAATGCAACCCCCATTCATGATAAAAACCTTTCAGAAAATTGTAATCAATGGTCTGTATCTCAATGTGAAAAAAGCTATCTATGAAAAACTAATAGCCAACATGATAGCAATGTTCACATATTGAAATTGTTTATCCTAAAATCAGGAAGAAGAAAAAGATGTCCACTATCACCACACCTGTTCAATATCCAGGCAGACTTCTTACTGGGGTCTGTGTGTACTTACCAATGGTATCTCAGTGGCTATTTGGTTTGGGCATGAGAGCCCAAGCCACTGGTGTCTGTCTGGCCCTGACTAAGGCCTGCTCAACTGGGCAGCTGCTATCCGGGCTGGAATCTGGCTTGGGCCTGCCCACCCACACTGCTGATGACCAGGCAGGCTTCTGGCTGGAGTCTGTGCACCCTCAACAGAATTATGTTCTTTCAGCAATGCTGGAGCTATTGAGATTTTGAGGAAAGGAATAGTAAGTTTTTAGACATAGGACAGTTCTATCATGAAACACAGTAATTATCTTCTAATTGTGTTTGTTAAGAGTTTAAGTATGGCTTATAGGAATCTATTCAGATACAAAGTTGACAAGTGGTAGACTTGTGCCAGTTAATGGTGATCATCACCTTGATGGGTAACAGACTTCGTGAGGAGGTGAGCAGAATCTAAGGACACTAACTTCACAAATGATGTAAACTGATGATGACGTTATAGCTGAATGGTCTAACAGGATGTGGGACATAGTTGAAGGAAGTGGGTCATGTCATAGTGGAATAGATTCAGGAACGTTATCCGGGTCCTAACTCCTTCTCATTATGTTCTTACTCTGTTCTGTGCTTTGTGGTTGCCATGAGATTCGCAGATTCCCTAAGCCATGCGCTGCAGGGATTAGGGAAGGGGATAGTATCCACACCTCTGCCTGGGGTCCTGGCCTGTGAACCACCACAGCACAAGGCGAATTTAAAAACAGATAGAAACGAGACTTAGAACAGGGCCAGGGTTTTAGCTCAGTGGTTTCACTGCCTGCCTCACAAGCACAAGGACCCACGTTTGGTCCCAGGTACCAAAACAAAACAAACAAACAAACAAAAAAACACCAAAGAACTAAATGAGACTTAGAGTGAAGAAGCTGAGTCTTGGGTCCTGATCAGTGCTGCTGATGGCAGCAAAGACCAAGGTCCCCAAGCACATCCAGTATTTACTGAATACAATCGTGAGAAGGAATAGGGAGCTAGGGAGATATAAAGTTATCTCGTGAATTATTGCCAAACACCTGGCATGATGGGGCCAGGCAGGGCTGTCAGGGATCAGCACTGCTTATCTTGCTAAGATAGAAGAAACTGGTACTTGGATCAGGTGCAATTACCAAGCAACCCACAGGGCCAGTGACAAGTGATAATTCAGGGGAAAGGATTTTAACTGGGGTCATGCTGACGTCAGCTGCATGTAACTCAGCAGGGCCCGGCCACTTCACAGACCAGGACTTAGGCCTTGGTGACAGCCATTAGCAAAGGAGCAATACTAACCCAACTCTGCTAGCTGACATGCCCTTTTGAGTTACACAGGGCTTTGGTCTGGCTCCTCATATAAAAAGTATAACCAAATTATGGAAGGCAAGAAGCATGTGTCACTCATAGCCTGCTAGCACTGGGCAGGGATCCCTGCTACATTGGCTTTCTGCCATGTCAGTTTTGCTTTAGAGACAACTCTGCAGATTGAATCCTCTAAAACCATGTCCCAAAATCAATCTCTCCTCCATCAAGATGTGATTCTTGGATATTCAGTCTCAGTGAAAGGAAAGCTGCAGAAAAGCTAAAAGAGTGAGCCTCCCTTTCCTGGGGAACTAGGAGTACTGTGGTTAATGACTTGCCCAGGATGAGCACTTGGCCTGTGATTGAGGTGAGTGAAATCCAACTCCACTGTCCTAGGTAATATGGAGCCTTGTGGATCTCCAGTGTTCCTCTGTGGGCCTGATGGGGCTGCCATCTTAGGATCTGCAATGGTTGTGCTTGTGCCAGCCTTCTCTGTGTGTGAACTGCTGCCTTTGTGTCTTTAAAATATTCTGTCACAGAAAGTCTTATTACAGTATATGTTATTTTTATGTTAATACACATCTAAAACTCAGCTATGAGCAGTATACACAGGATATGATGAAGCCATTGCCAGAGGGAGAGAGCTGGCTAGTAGTATTGGCTACATAGAAAAGAGACAGCATGGAGACCAACCACAGCTTAGTCTTGTGTGTGGTCCATCAGGCTCACCCAGTGGAGGATCAGAGACCAAGGAGACTCTGCTACACAGGATCTCTTGGGTGCTTTTCCTCTCTAGAATCCCAAAATGTTGCCTTCTGTTGGGTTTCCCCAACAAGTGAGAGTCATCAAGAACAAGGCCAAAATAGATACTATCATTTAATATATCTGAGCATGGATGTCACCCTGCTCTTCTTCTTTACCTGGGTCACTCCACATACGTACTCAGCATTACTATGACTCAGGTGACATATTAATCCTTCTCCTGTATGTAATAGGACATTGTGAAATGTGAATTTAAGAGGCATGTTAACACCCCTGGGAAACAAGTGGTATAAACACAAGGTTAATCCAGCCATACTGACCAGAGCTGTGTCCTAATAGGGATTTGCTTTCAGCAAGTCAGGTCTGCACCTGGTAGAAATGAGAATAACATGTCCCATTTTATGTCTTGTTTGTCTCAGTTAAGAGACCCATAGGTCATGTCACCCTTCCCAGGGAGAGGACATTGTCTAGAGAAACTGAGGAATCCAACCTCAAGGTTTCTTTCCCACTTCCTGCCTGTTCTCCCTGCACTCAGACAAACAAGAATGGGACTTCAAAGCAATTAACAGGTTAAGAGAGAGTCTGGGGTTACAGAGCAAATAACACATAAAAGTCATAATGAAATTCCTTGGAAGCTTCACTTTTCTCTTCACAAAAAGGAGGGAAATGTTGGAGAGGACAGTCAGAGCAGTCATGGAGAGTGAACCAGGGGACTCCGGATGAGTGGCAGGACCTTGTGTTTCATGGATTTAATTACACAGTGTGAGTTGCTATGCTACGGGCAGAAGGTCACAGTTCATGAAGACCTGCACACCATCCTGAGAGTTCTCAGCACACTGTGGTGTTCCATCTCATGCCTCCCCTAAGCCACAGGAGCTTGAGGCGACTCCATGGCTGCTTGAGGTCAGCAAGATTTCATCAGAATCCACATCACGTTGTGAATGGTTAGTCTCATCTCCTTGATTTTTACAGCCATCTTTCATTTTGCAAATATCACCATGCACAGGTGACACTGGGGGTGTCTCTAGGAAGGTGACAGAGCCACCCACCAAGACACCTAAGGAGCCTGCAAGATCTACAAAAATGAGCTCCATGTAACTGAATTACACCTAGGATTTAGAAGACAGACATGAAAAACTTCTTATGCAGAATGATGAATATGAATGAAAGAAGATGAAGGAACTTAAAGCCTAGGCACAAAACTATGGATCAGCAGAAAGAAAGATATCTGGAGCAGTCTTGAGCCTGGTGCTTATAGAGAGAAAGAGAAGGATTTAAAGGCTCTGTGGTTTTATTGGTCAATGACTCAGGAACAAGATTACACATTTTCTCTAATGTGAAACTCAAAATGTGTCAATCAGGAAATCCACTGAGGTCCATGTCCCGAGTACCAGGTCCCAGTGAACTTCCTCAGGATCTCATCCTGTAGACCAGGGTAAAATCCTTTCTGTCCCTTCAGGGACAGCACACATAAGAATGTGTCAGCTTATTACAAAAATATGCTTCTGAATGGAGAGTACAGGGATAGGTCTGGGATCACAGCAGAAAAAAATGATTCCGAGAGAATGTGTTAGAGACCAAGCCCAAGTATGACAGGACAGAGCCCTGGACTTCTCTCTGCAGCTGTTCCTGTGGTGAGCCTGCTCAGCGCATTCCAAGCACCCCCTGGTGGTCCTGAGCGCCCCTGCAGGGAAGCTTGTGTCCTGGCTCACCCTGATGCCCCCTCACCGTGTGTGTGGCACTGCAGTCCACCTCTGTGTCCTAGGTTCTCAGGCTGTTCATTTGCAGATACATTGTATTCTTGGAGTTATCTGCAGAGATGGCGAATTGGCCCTTTACGGAGTCTGGGTAATGTGTGTTATCACTACCCACATTAATTCACCAACCCACTCCAGCCTCTTCCCTGGATCCTGGTAGACCCAGCTCATCCAGTAGCTACTGAAGGTGAATCCCAAGGCCACACAGGAGAGTCCAGAATGCATCAAGCTTCCCTGGACTCCACCAGCTGCATCTCAGCCTGGACGCCTGTAAACACAGTTATCCTGTTCAGGAAACTGTCACACATGTCCACTGTTTAGATTTCATCTTTAAAATTTATGTGTTCCTTTTTTTTTTTTTTGGTACCGGGGATCGAACTCAGTTCCTTGTGCTTGTAAGGCAGGCAACAGAACCACTGAGCTAAATCCCCGGACCCTGTGCTCCATTTTTAATTGTAAATTTGCAGATGGTGAGAGCCAGTTTTCTTATTGCATGGATCACCATGGGGCACACATTTATGCTAGCACCATATACTGAAGAGAACACCATAGGCCAGATATGGGCTTTTGCTGCTTTTGTTGAAAATTATTTGACTCCACAGGGGAGGGTTTATTTCTCAGATTTTTATTCTTTCCCATTGTTGAACCTGTCAATTTTTGTCAGCCTTGTGCTGTTTTGGATGCTGTATCTATATTTAATCTATATCGATCTATATCACATATTCTTCAAGACTTCAAGAACACAGTGCAAAACAAACAAACAAACAAAACAGCTCACCTTGAATGAAAAATCAAATTGTGCCTGATTTCTTCCAAGAAAATCAACTTTAACTACATCAGATCAAGCAGCTAAGTAAAGAGCTGCTTCTTTCCAGGTTTCTGGCAGTTCAACTCAACTCAGGAGTCAAGATATCAGTCCTGGGGCCCTGATTCTAAGTGCAGAGCCTTTGCTTCACAGAGGCAGAGAGGCTTCTATGCAGCTGCACTCCTGGACTGAGCTGGGATCTGGGGGAGCACCAGGATCTGCAAGATCCCTGATCCCTAACACCTTCTCATGATGCAGAGGGCCCAGGCATCCGTGAGAGACAGTTGGGAGCAGGAGGCTACTGCCCACCTCTTCTGAGCAGCAGGAAGCCAGGCCTGAGGTGGCAGTAAGGCCACATTTATCTCCACCTGCAACTACATGTTGCAGGCTCTGAGTGGCTCAGAGTGTTTCCTGGTGATAATGAGGAGAAGAAAGAAGGCACAAAGTCAGCATCAGAAGTCTGTGCTGAGAGGAATGAACTTCATGCTCAAGAGAGTGAGAAACCCACACCCAAAGTGCTCCCCAAACCATGGAGCGCATGCCGAAGTGCAGGTGGCAGCAGACAGAAGGATCCTTGGAGACATGGGCTGAGCTGCCAGCTGCTGGCTTTCTCAGAACCACGGGGTGAACAGCAACAGGTGAGTTGGGAATGAGAGCAGACATCAGAAAACTGGATCATGTGGTGCAGAGCTCACAAATCGGGTTGCTTGTGGATGTAGCACGACTTTGAGTCTCTTAGTCATTGAACTTGTCCAGGAAGAGACAAGAAACCAGTCTGACCTTGGCACCCAAGACAGCTGTGAGTCCCAGGGTGTGGGCTGTGACATCTGTAAGGTGCAGCCTCACCTAACACAAAGTCTGGACTTTTACCCAGATTCATGAATAAATACTGTGTTTTTCGGGACAGTAATAGTGCAGGTATGGATATTTTGCAGTTTGTATACCTGTTCCACCTTTGAAAGGCTGTTTCTAGATTTCTAGAAGCACTGTTTCTAGATTTTAACACAAACAAATTACAATAACTGTGTTGCAGAATTGGTGAGTGAACATCAAATTTTACTTGGCTTGCATATGGTAAATACTCAGGACTGGGACTACTAGGATGCATGTTACATACAAGCTTAATTTTATGTGAGAACATAAAATTCCCTGCAGTATAGTATTGTCAGTTGATTGAGTTGATGAAATAAATCAAGAATAATGTTCTTCTGGATTATATGTTCTCCTCAGGCTGTTAGGGAATCTTCTCAACAACATTTCCAATGGCCCCAAATGCCTGCACTCCCCAGGCTCTCAATCATTTCATAGCAGGTGGGAGTTGAGGTCCAGCCTGTCCCAGCCTTGTCCTCAAGGTCTCAGGAGAGCACAGAGAGAGCTGACATTCAGGTTTCAATTTGGGCAGATCTTGGCCTTCTCTCATCTTCAGTCGCCTGTGGGCATCAGTTCTTCCATGAATCCACGCTCCGGGCACTCACTGTCCTTAGGTCAACTGGCATATGACCAAGAAATAGACACCAGTACTTCCAGTCAGCCTGAAACCAGCTTTTGTAGATATCCAAATTTTATTGAAAGCAATGTCAATATAGCAAATCCACTTCGCAATACAATCTGACAATATGTTTCAAACATTTCATCAGTTTCTGAGGCTCAGCACTACTGACTCTCAGTTCTGATAAACAACTGCTTAACCCATTCCCTAGGATTGTAAGATGTGTGACAGAATTCATGGTCTATAAGAAGGAGATGCTGAGAGTGGTTCCTGCATGATGGAATCTACTGGAGATGTCAAAGGCATTGTTTTACATGCATCTGAGGGTGGAGGGCAGACTTAAAGTCAAAAGGGAAAACGTTTTCATGATTAAACGTTTCTTCACCTAAAACCTAACAATACTGTGTGGTCAATTGTGTTGTGAAAAACTGTTTCATTGAAAAAATGTACTTTTATTTTCCCTCATTGAGTTTACTGGTACTTTTTTAGGTTACATTCATAATTGAGACCTTGTACCTTTACATGACAGGTCTTGGTTCTCATTTTTTCCCCTTACCCCTGCCCTCCCTTCACCCCCTCCTCTCTTACCTATTTACAAATACTTTATAACCATTTTTTCTTTTTTTCTCATATTTTTTTCTTTCCCCTTATTTCTTTTCCGCTACCCTTCCCACTTCCCCTACACCTTTAGCCCTTTTCTTCCTGTTTCACATTGTCAGTTATACCATTAGGATCTTATGTACCATTATACTTTTTCACACCAGAGAAACTATTCAGTATTTATACATGTGTGACTTATTTATTTCACTTAGGAGTATATCCTCAATATGTATCCATTTTCCTATGAATAACTAATTTCTCCACCTCTGCTCTGAAGTTGCTTCCCTACACCGGTGTGTGCCAAGCGCCACCTGCTGGTTCTGAGTTTCCCTGCAGGGAGGTTAATGTCTGTTGCTCACATTTGAATCAAATCACTGTGTTTCTTCCACAGTAATACACGGCCGTGTCCTCCGTGGTAACAGAATTCAGCTGAAGAGAGAACTGGTTCTTGTCTGTGTCTCTGGAGATGGAGATGCGGCCATTGAGGGATGAGCTGTAGGCAGTGCCACCACTGTAATATATTACCCCCATCCACTCCAGGCTCTTTCCTGGGGGCTGACGGATCCAGTGCCATTCATAACCACCCATTGTGATGGGGGTTCTAGAGACCGTGCAGGTGAGAGACAGGGTCTCTGAGGGCTTCACTAGGCCAGGGCCTGACTCCTGCAGCTGCACCTGAGACAGGACACCTGGGGACAAGTGAAAACCTTCGTCAGTAACCTGATTTCATCGCCTTCCCATTGACCTTTGTCTCACAAGGAGGACACTCACCGTGGGGTCCTGTCACCAGGCACAGGAGAAGACCCAGCAGCCTCATCGTCTCACACCTCTACCTTCCCCAGAGGTCTCAGCCCTGTGTGAGGATGGAGCTGTGAGCTCCCACACCTCGAGAGGGGAATTTGAATGTAGAGTGGAGGGATGCATTTGCATGTGGGTGCCCAGTTCCTATGTGAGGGGGAGGCAGGGGTCATGCTGTTACGGGTCCTCTTCTGCTACTGAGCAGACTCTTCTCCTGAATTCCAGTTAGGTTTAAGTCTGCGGTAAATGGTAGTTTGTTTTAGAGGAATGGTGGAAGCAGGACAATGGTGACCCCACTGTCCTTATCCTAGTTTAGTTTCCTCCACTTCCTTCTCCCTTTTTTCCCTCCCATATGGGCTCTGTGAGGCTTCCTCAGAAATACTATGAGCACAGATCTCTCTCTCTCTCTCTCTCTCTCTCTCTCTCTCTCTCTCTCTCTCTTCTCTCTCTCTCTCTCTCTCTCTCTCTCTCTCTCTCTCTCTCTCTCTCCCTCCCTCCCATTTTTGGTGCCATCCATGCTGCTTGAGAGCTTGTTTCCCTGTCATTATAGTTGTCAGGAGAGGTCCACCTGCCTCCTGCTTCAAAACTTCCTGTGATCCAAGTCCCACCTGATCCAGACCCAGCAGAAACTGGAAATCAGGATGTGTGTCCTGTGCTTACCTCACAAAGTTGTTTCTAATCTAAGAGAAGGAGTCCGTCGGTGTTAAATGTCCCCTCCCCTTAAGAGCTTGTGTATCTACTGGGCAGTCCTTCCCTGGTTCCGCTTCCCATCTTGTTCTCTGGAATTTATTCCTATATGCAAAATGATTGTCTCCTTATAGTTGTCCCTTTTGAACAGTTATCTATTATGGACACCACGCACACAAGAACAATGGCCCTAAATTTCAACCTTAACACCCCTCCCTAATCATAATGAGGCTGCATGTACTTGACTGTTGGTTTCCTTGAGTGTCAGTTTGTAGTCCAGGCTCTCACGCTACTATTTGCCTCACTAGCCACTCCTGCCTTTGAATTTATATTGATCTTCATTCCTCAGTAGCTTAGGACCAGAATACCATATATGCACCATCACGTCTGGTGCAAAACAAATATTTGTTTTGTTTTGCTTTTTACAACTGGGTTTCATTAAGTATTCTCTAAATAATGAAAAAAAGAATAAGACTACAAAAGCAAGAACCAATTTAAATATGTTCGGGGACCATTTTCATCCCCAGAATTAAGGATTATTTTAATGTTACATCGTCGCCTTTACTCTTTTACTTTCCTTTTTAGTTTTATTTTAGGATTCCCTATTTTTAATGTTCATACAGAGATTTCTTTAACTGAAATACAGAATAGTTTGGTGTGAAAAACTATAAAAGTACACAGGATCCTAATGAGATCATTAATAATGTGAAATAGGATGTAAAGGGCTAAAGGTGTAGGGAAAGTGGGAAGGGTGGGCGAAAGGTAATAAGGGAGAGGAAAAAAATATGAGAAACTGTAAAAATGGAAATAAAGTGTTTGTAAATGGGGAGAGAAGGAGGGGGTGAAGGGAGGGCAGGGACAAGGGGAAAAATGAGAATCAAGACCTATTATGTAAAGGTACAGAATCCCAATGATGAATGTAACTGTATTGTATACCTAGATTGTACCAATATACTCAATAAAAAAATAAATAAAACTGGGTTTCAATTCAGAGTTCATGTTAGTCTTAATCAGATGCTACTATTTCCTCAGACTTCTATTTGCTGACAGTATGTACATATTACTAGCATCCCTAGTATGTGGCCTATTCTTATACCCATCCTTAGAAATTTGGTTCCAGATTATAGGGACTTTCCTCTGTTTTTAATTATTTTATGTCCCATATTTAATGTCTTTAGGATTCATGGCAAACTGACAAAGTTATTCTTCTCCAGGGATGGAGAGTCAAGAGCCATTTATTAAATTGCTGGCAACAAGACAAATAGAGCTTATCACATCCTAGAGCTTTGTGGATAAGACTCTCACTATTAAGATTTCCATAGCCCAGTCCTCCAAGCAGTGTAGATCAGTGAGGAGTGGAGCCACACAAGTGTCCCAGCACCATCACCCCAGTGCCCCCCTCTGGCCTCCTGGTGTGCCAGTACCTGGATCCCCAACACAGAGGCACAGGGGCGTCAGAAAAACAATTATACTGAGCTCCAGAAGATAGGGCAGAAGTGAACAACATAAAGAGGGTCTCTCTCAGCCTCCTTGATGAAAATTGAACCCACTGGGAAAGTGAAGAGAATTTCCAATAAGGGCACACCAGACCACCGTACTTGGTAAATTTGGAGGGATCACCACCTCCCATGGAAATCTGGACTATCCTCAGGGGAAAGGAAGCTGGAACCCACAACAGAACCTTGCAGAGTTCAACCCTGCAGGAGGTTGGGAAGTTCAACCTGTTCCCTGCAACCAGAAATCAGCCTGAATTTCAGGGGTTTGCTGCTGGCTTGCTGAGACCAATTAATTTAGATCTGCACAGTGCTGTTCATATTGTCTGTTGTGACAGCAGACATATCCTGAAGGAGGCCCTTCATTTTTATTTTTAAAGTTATTTTTTCTTTTCCTGTAATTTCCAAATTTTATTTTTCCTGCTCTTTTCAAATTCTTCCAAATTCTTTCTTCTTTTTCTTTTTTCTCTTTCTCACTCAATCCCTCACTCTCCCACATTGCTCTTCATCTGCCTTTTAGCTCCTGTTCCTGCTCTAATTCATATTTTTTTCCTTCTCTTTTTCTTCTCTTGATTGTCATTAGTTTCAAAGGCAAGTGAGTACAGTTTCTAGCTTTCCTATTGCTGTTAAGTTGTTCTATTTTGTTTTTGTTCTTTCATTCTGTTTTTCCCTCTTGTCTTCAACAGTTTTCTAGAGTTTGCATGATCTTCCTGTGTCCTCTTGCCTCACTTCTAACCTTCCCCTATCCTTCTAACTTTACCTTCTACCTTTCTATCCCTCTCTCCCCAACTCCTTCTAAGTCTCAATCCTGAAGGGTAGAGTTGGTATAATAAAGAGTTTATTCAGTATAAACATATTTTGAGCTGGTCCTCAATTTTGATTTAATTCACATGGTTAAAGGTGACAGATTAATAACTACCATAAATTGTCATTTTCTAAGCTGTGCTTGATTCTATTGGTGTTGATTATATCACTTGGGCTGGTGTTGTGATTGATAAAAACAATTATCCTTCCTGGTATAATGAAAATGAGATTGTCCCAGAGTCATTAAAGACTCAAAACCTAAAGATCATCTATATCTGGAAAACACCTCTGAGAAGCAAGGGTTCTAAATAAAAGCAACGAAGATACTTACAACAAGGAATATTGAAGTATCAGTCCAGGAATTAAACACAAAACTGCACCAACAACAATAGAAATGAAAAGATATTTAAGCACAACACAAACCCAGTCTCTCAGCTCATCAAAGGAAAAATCTGGGGGACAGGAGTTGGAAAAGTCTGATCATCAACCACCTGGACAACCTGGCCAGAGGAAGTAAAAAAATGGGTGAATGAGGCTCTAGAAAGATTTGAAACAGAAATAATTTCCCAGATAACTACTGAGATGATGAGCAAAATAAAAGACATGATTACAGTCTCTAGAAGAGAAACTGGTAAAAAATAGGTGAGTTCAGGACCAAGATGGAAGCCATGAATGCCCAGTATAGGAAAGAAATGGAGACAATGAACACCCAGCATAGGAAAGAAATAGAAATAATCTCAAACTGATATCCAGGAGATTAAAAAATTCTATTGAAATTGTACAGAGCAGATTGAGCCAATCTGAAAACAGAATACTAGATATAGAAGACAAAATTGCAGCCAGGAACCATGAAAAGAGAGATCTCTTAAAAATAGTAAAGGACCATGAGAAATCAATACAACAGCTCACTGGAGATGCAAAGAAGAATAATATAAGACTGATAGGAAGCCATGAAAAGCAGGAGAAAATAAAATGACATTGAAAAATTTCACAGAATTTAATGACAGAAAACTTCACAAACTGAGCAAAAGAACTTGACATATAGATAAGTGATGCATATAGGACTCCAACTACTCATGATAAAAAATAATCTACCCTTAAATATATAATAATCAAGATCCCAGAAACACAACAGAAGAACAAAATACTTCAAGCAATTAGAGAAAAGAAACACATCACATGCAAAGGAAAGCCCATCAGAATCATTTTCAACACAAACCCTCCAGTTAAGGAGAGCCTGGAGTGAGGTATTTCAAGCGTTAAAAGAAAACAACCTCCAACCTAAAATGCTGTATTCTGCAAAACTATCTTTCAAAATTGATGGGCAAATAAAATACTTCTATGACAAACAACAGCTAACAGACTTCATGAACACCAAACCAGTACTCCAAACAATTCTAAACAATATCCTAGAAAAAGGCAATGAAGGTCACAAAGTCCATGAGGCCCCACAGAGCAAATCCATTAGGCAAAGCAAGAAATTAAAGGGAGAGGGGAAAATTTAAAAATAGCCAACAACAGGACAATAACATGACAATGAAAAGCCAATACATATCACTTATAATCATCAATGTTAATGGTCTCAATTCACCAATAAAAAGAAATAGACTGGCAAAATCGATTAAGAAGCAAAATCCAACAATATGCTGTTTACAAGAAATGCACCTAGTTAAAAAAAGAAGCTCAAAGACTGAAAGTGAAAAGATAGAAAACAGTTCTCCATGTAAGAGGAACCTGGAAAAAAAGGAGGGGGTAGCTATCTTCTTTGCAGGCAAAGTAAATTTCAAACTGAAACTAATTAAGATAGATAAAGAGGGCCGCTACATCCTTGTAAAGGGAACAATCCAAGAGGAAGAGATGACAGTCATAAATATATATGCACCAAATACTAATGCACCCCAACTATATGAAACAAATGTTAAGGGACATGAAAAACAAAAGAGCACTAATACAATTGCAGTGGGGGTCCCCATTGTTACAAATAGACAGATCATCTAAACAAAAAATCAACAACATAATACTAGAACTGAACCAAACTTTTGAACAAATGGATTTTAAAGACATTTATGGAGTGT